CTGGGGTCCAGCAAAATTAAGGCAGTTCATACAATTTTAAAAACATTACAATGCATTCACAGATTTCACAACACAGTGTGCCCTCAGGACCCTACTCCACCACTACCACATATCTACAGTACAAAATCCATGTGTACGTGTGTGTATAGTGTGTATGTTATCGTGTGTGTGTATGCATGTGTCTGCGCCTATGTTTGTGTTGCTTCACAGTCCCCGCTGTTCCATAAGGTGTTTTTTTAATCTGTTTTTTAAATCTAATTTGACTACTTGCATCAGTTACTTGATGTGGAATAGAGTTCCATGTAGTCATGGCTCTATGTAGTACTGTGCGCCTCCCATAGTCTGTTCTGGACTTGGGGACTGTGAAGAGACCTCTGATGGCATATCTAGTGGGGTATGCATGGGTGACCGAGCTGTGCGCCAGTAATTCAAACAGACAGCTCGGTGCATTTAACATGTCAATACCTCTCATAAATACAAGTAGTGATGAAGTCAATCTCTCCTCCACTTTGAGCCAGGAGAGATTGACATGCATATTATTAATATTAGCTCTCTGTGTACATCCAAGGGCCAGATAACAGTAGCACACCAGACACTTGTTGTTGCTAAACTCTATCTTTCGGTCTGCCTCACAAATGGCACCTTATACCCTAGCCATACGGGCCCTGGTCAAGAGTAGTGCACTAAATAGGGAATAGGGTGCCATTTGGTTCGCATCCTCTGTTTCTGTAGGGCTGGAAGCCATCCAGGTAGGCTGGCTAGTACAAGTGACTGTGGTACATTAGGCCTCGTGGCACTGTCGCAATCAGTGTAGCGTAATGTGTTTGTTCCGTATTTGCCAATTCCATCCAAAAACCTTTGGATGTCACCTCAACTCCCTAAACCAACCCTCTGATTAGCTTTATCTTCTTCCCCTGGTTCCTCATCTCTATCACTTTCTTTCTTTCTCTCTTTCACTTTCTTTCTTTATTTTATACTCTCCCTCTCACTTTCTTTCTTTCGCTCTCTCAGATACTCTCTTTCTTTCTGACTCTCTCTCCCTTTCTGTCTCTCTCGCTCGCTCTCTCTCTCTCGCTCTCAATCTTAATTCCCTTCATTTCTTAATTCCTCTCGCTCTTTCTCTCTACTACACTCTCCCCCCTCCCTCCCGCTCTCCCTATAGCCAAAGGCAATCTAGTGAGTGAGGATAGTGAGTCCACATACACACAGTGAATACCAAACTACCTCTTAACTTCCACCCAGCAGCCCCCCAGAACCAAACCACACCGCTGTCCCCTCCTCTACAAACACATAAACAATATGAGTGGTCTGTACGCCCGCTGAATGCCAAGTACCTAGGGCTGAATGGAAGCATTTATTGCCCCTTTTAATTATCAAATACCAGAATGTCACTGTCTCTGAAAAACATTTCCCAGTCAACAACCCCCTCCCTGGAACTATGTTGTAATTAAGTGGAAAGCGAAGTGATAGTGTAATCCTTCTCCACATTTGGATTGTGTCCCAATTACAGTTTTTGCCTATTGCTTACACACTTTTTGCAGAATTTGGCTCATTATGTCAAAACTCAACACACAAGCCAATCAGACATAGCACTTGGAGATTAACAACTCAGATATATGCCAAAATGAAACACTGCAATCAAAACTTAACACTCCTTTCTAAAAATGAAATTCTTGCAACAAAACCATACACACAAGCAACATTTGAATGACTCTTTCATATCAGCAGCAACACACTGATGGGCTTTATATAAAACACTGCAGTCTTTGTGTTTCTATTTTTATTGTCATTTTATTGTCATTGTCGTCTGTAAAACTCAAAAGTAGAATTTCTGCAGTAATCAAACAGTATTTACAAAAAAGTTTTTACAAAAAAACAAACGTTCTTACAGAAATTCTTAACATCAAATTTAGCAACAAAACAAGTAAAAAAACTAAACAATTACTGGTTAAATTGCTATTGGGGGAAAAATGCAATGATCTGTCCTGTATTGTAGGGACCTAGAGTGGCATGATGATGCAGGACTCCTTGGACACTAATTGCAGCACACAAGGTGATATTTTCCCCACGCTGCCCAGGGACATTTACAACAGCCCTTTGTCCAACTACGTTACGGCCCGACGCCTGGTTTTGGCCAGATTGAAGCCTGCCTCATCCACGTAGATGAACTCATGCGGCAGTTCGGCGGCATCAAACTCCAGAACTGTCTGTAACAGAAAATATTGAATAGTGTTACTGAAAACACATACAGTAACTACAATGTCTATATTTTCACACAAGTAGGGGCTGGTTTGGGTGAGTATAGACAAAAACTACAAGCTACAGGCAGGGCAGGTGGCAGCATAAACCCACATCACAATATATAGTTTGTAAAGTAAAGTGACACATACCTGCACATAATCATGGCGCAGATCCTTGACCCTGACACTGTTCCTCTCAAAGTTGGATTGCATTATTTTCTCGCACCATTTCAATGATGGCAAGCTCTTATTGTTGAGTGAAGAGCCGTTTCCCTTCCACCTTGAGGAGGTCGTCCAACCATTCTGTAGAAAATGCCACCACTAGATGTCATTGGTTAGGTTATTTTTCACATACTGTACTTTCAAACTGTACACAGTACTGCAACATCACAATGGTATTCCTTTACATATACAGTACTTCACAGCACTACCCATTGTTGTATAGTATAGTTAGTACAGTAATACTGTAATATGATACAGACTCATGTGACACATACAGTAGGTACAGTCTGGAGTAGAAACTTGAAGATATACCTGTTCTCCAGTCGGAATGTCCTTATTATCGATGCTACTGTGTAGCGACTGAGGTTAGGGTGGACTCTTTGCCCAGCCTCCCTCATGGACAGGCCATGATTTATCACATGGTCCACCAGAGTAGCCCTGATGTCATCTGATATACGTCTCCGCACTGGTCCTCGTCCTCTTCCACGTCCTCTTCCTCATCCGACTCCTCTCTCTCTTTGTCCTCCTCTTACTCTGACTCTCATTGCCTCCATGCTTGCAAAGTTCTAAAAATGGCTTACCTGAGGCCTATTTGTAGTGCTAAGGCTCAGACTGATTGGTGTTCTGTTTTCTGTGCAAGTGTTTTCAGGTGTGTATGTAAGTGCATACAATTGCCAGATGAGTTATGCATTTTGAACAGAGTGTTTTCCCAATGATAACAGGTGATTTCGTTTTTGAACAAAGTGTCTAATGTAAGAAAACGTGTGTAGTGTTTCGCAATAAGTGTGTTACAGAATTGCAAACAAAGTGCAAAGTTGACATTGTGTTTAAGCTATGGTTACACTGTGTTTAAGCTATGCTACAAGAAGTTTAGGTATTGAGGCTTTGGTCTAAGCATTCGGTTTTAGTGTGTAAGCAATGGGCAAAAACTGTAAATGGCACCATATGTGCACTACTTTTGACCAGAGCCCTATGGGGTTTGACACATTTTGTGTAAATAAGAGTGTCACAGAAAAATGTAAGTAGGAAGAAGTTTATAAATCTCTTGCTTGTTTGTTTAGTTGTGTGTTTCATGGAGGCTGTTGCCCGGGTTGCTAAGCCTAATTTGCAGCAGTATCATTATGCAGTGTAATTATGTAGTAAACCGTGTAGAGTCTATTTCTACATTAGCCTAGAATTAAATGAGAATATAATGTTTTATAAACCACCATGGTGACCCCAGAATAACATAATGAAGTCATCCCTGGAGAACCAACATCTCCTGAATACGCTGTGCAAGTGATGTTGTCCTACGTCATACTTCCGGGTCCTGTCCCCTATTCTTTTGAAAGGGCTTGCCGATTATATCATCACATTTGTGTTTGTGGATGAATTTACTTCTGCCAGATGCCTTTTATGAAGTTATTGCGCTGAGGACCACTAAGGCCCATTGAAGACCATTCAAAAAGCTTACAAAAGTACAAAAACTACAAGGCTGCGTCACTTTCATAGTGTATTAGACGTCTAGAACTGAGAACTTTATTGTCAAGCCTGCCCTGTAATACGCACCTAAATCCGCTATGGGCCGTGGTCAAAAGTAGTGCACTAAATAGAGAATAGGGTGTCATATAGAATGCAATCTAACTCTTGTTATTCATATGGAAGTTAGCTGAGTATTCTGTGTGTACACACCTCTCCTCCTCCTCCTCCTCCTTCTCCTTCTCCTCCTCTCCCTCTCTCCTCATCTCCTCTAGGTGACTAACACCATGGGTAGCATGGAGAGTGGTCTGAAGCAGCACCTGGCGAGGCTGGATGAGATCTTCGCTACGCGGGGAGACTACGTACAGACCCTGCGCTTCATGCAGCAGATGGCTGACAACATCATCAAACAGCTGTTGGGCCTTCCTGACTGGGACACGGCTAAAGTAGACCTGGCCGCTATCGCAGACCAAACCACATACGTAGAGTACTACAGGTATAGACCAGACAAGACCACATATAGACCGTGTGTGTGTGTGTATGAATGTGTGTGCTTGTGGGCGTGTGTGAGTGTTTGTGTGCGTGTGTGTGAATTAATGAATGACTACCTCTAATCAGTAATCCATCTCACTGTGCGTTCTGCATGTTCAGATTGTTTTTACAACATTTGCACAACATTAATACGACCTTATTGAGTTCAGATGAAAACATAGTTCAGCTGAGAGCCTCCACATTCAGCGAGTTACTATTCATGTATCCAATTCCCTGTGATGGTGTTCAGCTTGATTCCAAATTTGGCTGAAATGCACCCAGTAAGAGTGATCACTGGAGAGACAACAGGCACCAGGCACATGGTCCTACATCCTCCTGCTTATACTGTACTACTGTACCCTCTGGAGTGCCAAGAGAAGAGAGGGGGGAAAGAGGTTGAGGAGAGAGAGAGATATAATAGAGAGAGCGAAAGAGGAGTGAGAGAGCGAGGGAGAGAGAGAGAAGGTAGACAGAAGGAAGACAGAAAGAAATAGAAATATAGAGAAAGTGTGAGAGAGAGAAGGAAGGGGAGAGAGTATTAGACATAAGATGGGGTAGGGTTGGGGGGACATAGCCATAGCATTCAGAGCATGAAAAATTAATGCGTATGGATTTGAGCTCATCCATTATTAAACCATCTGGACTGGATCTGTCCCTACATGGGCCCCAGCCAGAGACCACTGACCACAATTATAGCACTGCTTCTGTTCTGTTCTGACTGTAGCAGATGGCTTCAGTTGAGGGCACAGAACACACACATACACACACACACACACACACACACATCGACTTAGACTGCATCTTGTTCTCACACACATATGCACACACAAAATTATATTGTCAGCAAAAAGTAAAGACATCAAGCACACAAATAGCCTACGCCATGTCCATTCATACACTGACACACTGACACACACACTCACTCACTCACTCACTCACTCACTCACTCACTCACTCACTCACTCACACACTCACTCACACACAGCCTACACCATGTCCGTTCCTACACTGACCAGACCTGGGCAGAAAATAGTTGTATTTGGTAATTTATTTGATAATACCAACTTTTCAAAACTCGAGGTAGTCAAATATAGAGAATCAACTAAAGGCAACCTTTTCCTTTGATATTCAAATACAGGTCTCAGAAAAACAATAATATTTGAAGGTATTTGAATATATGCAAGTTATTTGAAAACCAAAAATCGAACTACAGTGCATTCGGAAAGTATTCAGACCCCTTGACCTTTTCCACGTTTTGTTACGTTACAGCCTTATTCTAAAATTGATTTTAAAAAATGTTTATCATCAATCTACACACAATGTCCCATAATGACAAAGCAAAAATAGGTTTTTAGAAATGTTTGCAAATGTATTACAAATAAAATAAAAAATATATAACATTTACATAAGCATTCAGACCCTTTACTCAGTACTTTGTTGAAGCACCTTTGGCAGGGATTACAGCCTCGATTCTTCTTGGGTATGACTCTACAAGCTTGACACACCTGTATTTGGGGAGTTTCTCCCATTCTTCTCTGCAGATCCTCGCAAGCTCTGTCAGGTTGGATGGGGAGCGACGCTGCACAGCTATTTTCAGGTCTCTCCAGAGATGCTCGATAGGGTTATAGTCCTGGCTCTGGCTGGGCCACTCAAGGACATTCAGAGACTTGTGACTAATTAATCAAGCAATCAATATACATGCACTAACATAGATATTGAAACAAACAATTAAAAAAATCAACCTGCAATAGAGTATGCTGGGAAATATGATAATGATGGGCGTGGTTTTGGTTCAAAGTGATGTGTATGAATTTCAGGCCCCTGTATTAGGGTAAAAATAGGCCCTCAAAATGAGGCCTTATGAAATATGTATGGTATTGTGTTAAATAATAAATACAAAAATATATGATAACATATTATTCACGTAGGATCTCACTTGGTGAAGTCCACAGGACCGAATGGATGAATGCAACAACCATGTCTTTGTCTTTAACAAATACAGTCATGGGTGGTAGCTCTACAATTTACTCGAAAGGCAAGGCACTCTGGGAAATATTTGAATAAGGCTTTACACTAAGCAGTGTTAATTTTATATGTTCCGGTGTCTATATGGGTCCACAGACTCAATACTTTCAGTGTTGATTTCACACTGTCAGTGTTGATTTGTTTGTGTTTTAACACTGGAGAATTTGCTGTGCAGTATAGTGTCCCAACTTATTTATACTTATCTGTACACAATATCATTGGTTGGTTGGTTTGACTTGATTATTTACACAGGAGAAGGGACATTTACAGAATGTTCAGAGAAATAGAAATGTATTGTGTAGATCAAATATGATCTACTGTCAGATAGATTGAAATATTATAAGACATTGTGTATGCTCTATTCATTATATGAATATCTGCAACATGCAGTTCCAGATGCAGCCCTGCCATTAGTTGAAGGCAGCAAATCCGGTCGGTCGGTCGGTCGATCTGTCTGTCTCACACACACGTCCAACCAATCCTCCACTGACCTACACAGAGACATCCAGTGTGATGTCTGACAGTATGCGTCCAATTGGGTTAGCCAAAGTGTCCTAAGTGTCAGCCAGTCGTGTGTAAGCTAAGGACATGGACCAGCCAGCTGACTCTCATTTGGGTTGAAACTTGGTTGGCTGCTCCCTCAGCTGACTCTGCACATTACTGTAACCATAGAAATATAATTACTAGAACAGGCATTCCCTTTCAAGTCAATGTTCTCTGATAGGTGGAACGGTGGACATATTGAGTGTACCCATAGGAGTAGGCAATGAAGATAAGAGAAGGAACTTGTATTTCTGTGACTGTAACACTCTCTGTCATTCTCTCTCTGTCCTCTAGGACCTAGGTGCCTCACCTACCTGCTGCTACTGATCCTAGATCTGTTACGCTGTCTGACTGACTGACTCTCTGTCATTCTCTCTCTGTCCTCTAGGTGGCTCACCTACCTGCTGCTACTGATCCTAGATCTGCTCATCTGTCTTGCGGCTTGCCTGGGCCTGGCCAAGCAGTCTCGCTGGCTGCTGACCACGTGAGTAGCCTACTGCCCCTATTTCTGTTCTGTTCAATTATTTACTGTATTGTTTGGTCTGTCGATGCACTTGATTCAATTAGCTGCTTGGAGATTTTCCATGCCCATTTCCAAGAACCATACGTTTGTGGTTGATTTAATAGACTTGGAGTCGTGCCATAATTGCCATTTCAAGAACCCCCCACAGAATTTCCAGAGTGTTACTTGACCTGTTTTATGTGTCTTACATAACTTACCTGAATTACAAATGCACTTGACTGAAATGGAAAAGGGAAGCCTTTTTCCTTCTCACAGCCCGGTCTGGAATAGCTTGTATTATTTAGTTCTTAATTTGTTGTGTGAAGTTGTTTCAAGCAGGGGTAGGGAAGGAGGGAGGAATCGACTTTTTGAAGGGATATGTTGAAGCTAGAGAATTTATATGTTAATGTAAAATAAATACTAAATGTACATCTTCACACACAAACACACACACAACCTCCCATCTCATCTCAGTATCTATAGTCATCCATAACGATTTCCACTATAAGTACTCCAGCCCCCTGCTGTACTGTGAGAGAGATTCCACAGGGCATGTAATGCATCACTCTATGCACACACACACACACACACACACACACACACACACACACAGTAAGCGTGTAGCTCATCCAGTCCCTCTGTGCTCCGTGCTCACCCAGGCGCATAGCTTCCTGTCTCTCTCCATCAGTCATTGGGGCTGAGAACCATGCTTATATTATATCCTCAACCAACACCCGCTTAACACACACACACACTTCAATGAGTCAGTGAGTCAGGCCTCCCAGGGGAGTTTCGATCCATTCCATTCCACTAGGCTGGGCGTCTGGGCGTTTTACACATTTGAGATGAATTACAGTTTTGAAGAAGGCCGGCTTGTGGGGTTTATGATGTGTGAATGGTGGTTCCTGTGGGCGTCAACCCCATTCTTGGTGCTCGGAGAGGAGAACTTTAGGTAGCACACAACACTTCCGTTTGTGGGGCCTAGCTGTGCAGAACATCCCAAATGGCACCCTATATCCTATATACGTAGTGTACTAATGGGATGGACATTTGAAATAATTGTACTATTCAGATAATATCATGACATTTTTTGGGATATACCCGGATAGTCAAATTGTTTTGTTTAAAGAAAAAGGTTGTTTAAACTTGGACACTTGTTTGCTGCGCAGCCTGCCCGACTCAGGAGAGACCGTACGCAATGCAGCAGGATGGGGGATGACAGGGGCCGGTGGTGTGTGTGACACGGGAGGGAGAGAGAGAAAAAGTAGCCACTGACTCAAGTGTAGTTAGACAAACTTGTAAATGTCATACGTTATCTGACAGTGCATGTCTTTACTGCATCAACTAGATGTAAAGAAGCTAACTAAGATAGCCAGATGTTAGGTACCCAGCTAGATAGGCGAGTTGAGGCTATTTTGCTGCGCTACCCGTCCCCGCCCAACAACGGGCAGTATTTCTGTTACATGTATTTGATATAGGTATTTCAATCATTTCAAAACGTATTTTGTAGTGATGTTACGTCTGATACCAGAGCTCCAGAGCTCCAGACAAAAAGGCTACACTGCGCACGCACTATGACGTGTGCGACCTCATCTATAATAATTTGGCTGTTTTAAATTATTTTGACCACCAGGTGCCACTAGTGTACACTGTGTTGATTAAAGCCTTGAGTAATGAACCTATTTTCAAACAATTGGCTGGAAATGCTCAATGCTTCAGGAAGCTTTGTTTCCCCATTACTACTATTTTGTAATGTGTGTTTCACTGGCCAGAACTACAGTTGATGTATTTTGTAACATTTTAATTAGAATACATGTATTTTGTATTTTCTAATACAAAGAAAACTTGCAAGTAGCCCGTTTAACTACAACAACATTCTCTGTAATGGTAACATAATCTTTTTACTTGCTATGACTGTGATATAATTTTTTTTATCTACCTTAGTTTAATGCACTGACTGTAAGTAACTCTGGATAAGAGTGTCTGCTAAATGACCAAAATGTAAAAGTAAATGTAAAAATGTACACTTGCAAAGCACACTGCTGGGTATTATTCTAATGAGCTCCACCCTCAAACAAGGCCAAATTTGATCAAAATACAATGTGCTTTGCAAGTGTTAATTTTTACATTTACATTTTGGTCATTTAGCAGACGCTCTTGTCCAGAGCGAATTAGTGCATTAAACTAAGGTTGATAAAAAAAAAAACACATATCACAGTCATACAAAGTAAAAGGTTTCTGTAACCGTTACTGAGAATGTTGTTGTAGTTAAGGATACATTGGTCTTCAAGGTATTTTGTATTTGTAACAAGATACTAATGACTGACCATCTCTGGCTAGTGCCAAGTACGTTACTATAATATTCACATTAACTTGCCACCAGTGTCCTGTAAATTACTGTAATATCAGAGCAAAGATAAAGCACAATACTGTAAAATTAGCCTACTATACTGTAAGAAAGTAAATGCTACCGTAATATTGGTATTTAACAGTATTTTGCTATAATTACATGGGCTTGGTGCAAGCAGGTTTATGAATATTTGGCATTTTATGTCACTTGCACTTCGAGAGGCCTAAACAAAGGCTTTCAAAATGGCTGTGATTAAAGGGCAAAACAGACCAAAAGGGACGTAGCAAAGCACTCAACCAGTAAAGGTTTAAGGCCAAAATTTGACTGTAGGGTGTCAGCAAATATAATAAAGTTTACCCTATTCATCTATGGCAAAGATACTTATATTTTTCCCCTTTCATCTGTGTCTAGTGTTAACTAGCTAGGTCTTCAGCCAGCATGGAACAAAAGGGGGAAAGTAGTTCAAAACTCTGACGCAGTTGTCAAGTCAACACATCCGTCAGTGCTGTAGTGAACCGCCTCATAAGAGACATGCCGAACGGGAGATGTAAATAAAACAAATCATATCATTCATGCAATTTCAATGTTTGAGTTGCTTTGTGTATCACCAATTTTGTAGTGAAGGGAAAACAAAGCTTCCGTAAGCATTGAGCATTTCATTTTACATATTTAGCAGACATTCTTATCCAGAGCAACTTACAGTTAGTGAGTGCATACTTTTATTTTTTTCATACTGGCCCCCCGTGGGAAACAAACCCACAACCCTGACGTTGCAAATGCCATGCTCTACCAACTGAGCTACATTGGATTTCCAGCTAATTGTGTTGAAAAAATTGGTTCATTACGCAAGGCTTTGATCAACACATTGTACACTAGTGGCACCTGCTGGTCAAAATAATTTTGAACAGCCAAATGATTATAGCTGACGTCGCACACACCATAGCGCATGTCTTCTACTGAAACCAATATCAAACCAATCAGGTGGTTGTTTGACAATGTGAAGCTTCAGACGTAATTGATCACGTGCGTCTGATAAAGTGATACAAGCATCGCCACACTGCTTCGAAGTAAACTGCTTAGCGGTTTTGATGCATTCCCCAGAGCTCCGGTATCAAACGTAACATCACTTCAAATTTGCTTGAGATTATTTTACTGCAACACTGCATCCAAGTTTCTTGACATAAGCATTTCAAAGAGCTGTAAGAAATCTGACATACCTGAGATGTATGCAACAAGTATGTCTCAGTCACTAACAAATTCAGTCATGGGTGGTAACTCTACAATTCACTCGAAAGGCAAGGCATTCTGGGAAATATTCAAATTGCAACTAAAGCTTTACAATTCAACAATATTCAGTAGATATACGGGTCCACACTTTAAGTGTTAATTTAACACTGGGGAATTTGCTGAGTAGAACCAGCTCACCTGCAAAATAACTAGGGATTTACAATGATGCTGAAACTTGGAGAATTTGGGGGATTAAGTGTGGCGCACGTCATAAAAACTACATTCAAAAGTTTGTTGTTTTAGTAAATAAAGAATTTTTAATGTCATGGTATATCCTTGTGTGTAGCAATGTCACAGATTATTTTATTTAACTGATCCATTGTTAAAATAGGCCTACGATTTTTTGCCTAAAACATTTGTACTCTCGCAAGTATTCGATTACTGACGTCCGTTCAGATATTCGAATATTAGAATAACTGTGCCTGCCCATCCCTATGCACTAGAGAATAGGGTGCCATTTAGGACACAACCCAGAGCTGCCCTCTCTCTGTGTTGGTGTGTGTGTGCATCAGGCTTTAAGTTTATGTCTTGTTGTTTATGTACCTCTTGTCTGTGCATGTAATGAACCAGCCAGGCTTCATCTGCCACTGCCCCAGTCCCGGCTCCTTCTCATAGATCAGTGATCTGCCTGCCTGAGCACAAAAGCCAACGGTAGCTTGCTGGAATCGCAGCTGACTTGGCGGCCCAGGGTGGCGTGTTGGTGGCCTGGCCTTACGTGGTGTGGTGTAGTGTTGTTTGTTCAATAAAGACACGCTGGGTTATTATTCCTGCCAACTGGTTTCACCCAGAGCACATACACACACTCTATCTCTCGCTCACTTTAACTGAGGCCTCCATGGCCCAGTGGACCCACAGAACCCCTCATTAAGCACTTTGAGTACAGTAGGGCAGAGCGGGCACCTATCCTTCCACACCACTGACTGCATCCACCCACCGTAGTTCCCAGAGGTCATACGCGCACACAGTCTGGGTAGCCCCCCAGAGCCCACACATGGGTTCAAACACATTCACACACACACACAAATCAGAGAACACACACCGCTGCTGTTATGCTCTTGAGGAAGACCCTTGATTATGGATTTTATTGCACAGGTATTCAGCTTTTCTCATGGGCTTTACAGTATATGGCCGTCATAGCTGCATCTTCTCGACTCACGAATAATACTACTACTGTTAATAATTAACTCCTTCTTTATCATTCTGACTGTGCTCACAGACTGTCCTGACAGACAAAGACCCTGGCTTTTCTTCTCACACACGTCAATGCAAACACAGGAAGCTAGAGGATGAGTGTGTGTGAGAGAGAAGGGTCGTACAGCAGTGGGAACTCACAAAGCCCATTATGCTGCCAGTCTGTTGTGAATTGGATTAGTGGGAGAGCTGTGATGTGTTATGACCTGATGGATGCACACACACAAAAGACACACACACACAAACACACACACACTCACACGGATCAGAGAGACAAATAGGTTCATCGTATTCCTAACCACTTACTGCACACATTCATATTGCATGTGATGAGCTAATTTCATTTTCTTCGAAATATTGTGGTCATTTGTGATTGGACCCATTGCCCGATGAGTATTGAGCCCCTTGCATGCATATGTAGTTCACGTGAAATTGCTAGCTAGCTAGCGGTGCGTGCAAGCAGTGTTCAATTTGTGACGTCACTCGCTCGGAGACCTAGAAGTAGTTGTTTCCCTTGCCCTGCAAGGGCTGTAGCTTTTGTGGAGTGACAGGTAACAATGCTTCATGGGTGACGGTGGTTGATGTGTTCAGAGGGTCCCTGGTACGAGCACAGGTTGGGGCAAGATGAGGGAAGGAAGCAACACTGTTACACATACATGAGCTTACATACATAGACATACTACAGAGCATTCTCAGTATCCAGAGAGAGGACCTTTGACCTTTTTGTTGTATAACTGGCGAGGCAGAGTGACAGCCCAACCAGATAATGACATCATCTTTGATTATCACATCCTTGATGACCACATAGTTCTAATGTTTTGTGGCCAGTGTTATATATATTATAGTGTGTTATTAACAGTGTTATAATACCCACAATTCTTTCTCTCTGTGTGTCCCTGCAGGATGATGGTGTTTGGGGTGCTGACGTTGATCCTGAGCTGGGGGTCTCTGGGAGTTGACCTTGCCACAGCTGTGGTGAGTGACTGTGACTCCAAGGCCTGCGTCCCAAATGGAACCATATACAGTGCATTCGGAAAGTATTCAGACCCCTTGACCTTTTCCACATTTTGTTATGTTACAGCCTTATTCTAAAATTGATTCAATTGATTATTTCCCTCATCAATCTACACACAACACCCCATAATGACAAAGCAAAAACTGGTTTTTAGAAATGTTTGCAAATTTTTTAATAAAAAGGAAATATCACATTTACATAAGTATTCAGACCCTTTACTCAGTATTTTGTTGAAACACCTTTGGCAGCGGTTACAGCCTCGAGTCTTCTTGGGTATGTCTCTACAAGCTTGGCACACCTGTATTTGGGGAGTTTCTCCCATTCTTCTCTGCAGATCCTCTCAAGCTCTGTCAGGTTGGATGGGGAGCATCACTGCACAGCTATTTTCAGGTCTCTCCAGAGATGTTAGATCGGGTTCAAGTCCAGGCTGTGGCTAGGCCACTCAAGGACATTCAGAGACTTGTCCCAAAGCTACTCCTGCGTTGTCTTGGCTGTGTGCTTAGGGTCGTTGGCCTGTTGGAAGGTGAACCTTCACCGCAGTCTGAGGTCCTGAGAGCCCTGGATCAGATTTTCATCAAGGATCTCTCTGTACTTTGCTCCGTTCATCTTTCCCTCGATCCTGACTAGTCTCCCAGTCCCTGCCGCTGAAAAACATCCCCACAGCATGATGCTGCCACCACCATGCTTCACCGTAGGGATGGTGCCAGGTTTCCTCCAGACGTGATGCTTGGCCTTCAGGTGCCTTTTGGCAAACTCCAAGTGGGCTGTCATGTACCTTTTACTGAGTGGCTTCTGTCTGGCCACTACCATAAAGGCCTGATTGCTGCAGAGATGTTTGTGCTTCTGGAAGGTTCTCCCATCTCCACAGAGGAACTCTGGAACTCTGTCAGAGTGACCATCGGGTTCCCTGACCAAGGCCCCTCTCCCCCGATTCTTCAACCTCATGGCTTGGTTTTTGCTCTGACATGCACTGTCAACTGTGGGACCTTATATAGACAGGTGTGTGCCTTTCCAAATCATGTCCAATCAATTGGATTTACCACAGGTGGACTCCAATCAAGTTGTAGAAACATCTCAAGGATGATCAATGGAAACAGGATGCACCTGAGTTCAAATTCGAGTCTCATAGCAAAGTTATTTCTGTTTTTATATTTAATAAATTTGCAAAAATTTCTAAAAACCTGTTTTCACTTTGTCATAATGGGGTATTGTGTGTAGATTGATGAGGAATTGTTTTTATTTAATCAATTTTAGAATAAGGCTGTAAGGTAACAAAATGTGGGAAAAGGGAAGGGGTCTGAATACTTTCCGAATGCACTGCATATACACTACATTACCAAAAGTATGTGGACACCTGCTCGTCGAACATCTTATTCCAAAATCATGGGCATTAGATGGAGCTGGTCCCCCTTTTGCTGCTACAACAGCCTCCACTCTTCTGGAAAGGCTTTCCACTAGATGTTGGAACATTGCTGTGGGGACTTGCTTCCATTCAGCCACAAGTGAGGTCGGGCACTGATGTTGGTTGATTAGGCCTGGCTCGCAGTCGGCGTTCCAATTCATCCCAATGGTGTTCGATTGGGTTTAGGTCAGGGCTCTGTGCAAGCAAGTCAAGTTCTTCCACACCGATTTTGACAAACCATTTCTGTATGGTCCTCGCTTTGTGCACGAGGACATTGTCATGCTGAAACAGGAAAGGGCCTTCCCCAAACTGTTGCCACCCAGTTGGAAGCACAGAATCAACTAGAATGTAATTGTATGCTGTAGCGTAAAGATTTCCCTTTACTGGAACTAAGGGGCCTAGCCCGAACCATGAAAAACAGCCCCAGACCATTATTACTCCTCCACCAAACTTTACAGTTGGTACTATGCAGTCGGGCAGGTAGCGTTCTCCTGGCATCTTCCAAACCCAGATTTGTCAGTCGAACTGCCAGACGGTGAAGCGTGTTTCATCACTCCAGAGAACGCGTTTCCACTGCTCCAGAGTCCAATGGCGGCGAGCTTTACAGCACTCCAGCCGACGCTTGGCATTGTGCATGATGATCTTATTAGGCTTGTGTGCGGCTGCTCTGCAACGGAAACCCATTTCATGAAGCTCCCGATGAACAGTTCTTGTGCTGACGTTGCTTCCAGCGGCAGTTTGGAACTCGGTAGTGTGTTGCAACCGACAGACGATTTTTATGCGCTACGCGTTTCAGCACCCGGCGGTCCCGTTCTGTGAGCTTGTGTGGCCTACCACTTTGCGGCTGAGCCGTTGTTGCTCCTAGTCATTTCCACTTCACAATAACAGCACTTACAGTTGACCGGGGCAGCTCTAGCAGGGCAGAAATGTGGAAAGGTGGCATCCTATAACAGTACAGGCCATTCTACTGCCAATGTTTGTCTATGGAGATTGCATGGCTGTGTGCTCGATTATATACACCTGTCAGTAACGGGAGTGGCTGAAATAGCCGAAACCACTAATTTGAAGGGGTGTCCACATACTTATAGTGTATATATTTTTTACCCAGTTGGGTCACTTAGTTGGGTTATTGAGCAATGATCCACAGGGTCAGATCAGAAGGTGTGGCTTACTGGGGGTGTGGCGTTCAGATATTTGTTTTCGACCACCCATAAATGTCATTCCGCTTCATCTGTTCTGTTGTATTGTCAACACACGTTGTACACGTGTACACAAGTTCCTCAAGTACCTATGCGTATCCAAATGTTGGTTTAGTTACCACTTTGATATGATATTTACGTAATATTGTTATTAATTGTGTAGTAAAATATGTAGTGTGCAAAACTATTGAAGGGAAATTTAATTTTGCCGTGTAAACACAACCAGCTTCATGAGGTAGTCACCTGGAATGCATTTCAATTAACAGGTGTGCCTTGTTAAAAGTTAATTTGTGTAATTTCTTTCCTTTAAAATAAAAAATAAAAAAATGAATATATAAATTGTTTTTGTCATTTAGCAGACGATCTTATCCAGAGCGACTTACAGTTAGTGAGTGCATACATTTTTTTCATACTGGCCCCCCGTGGGAATCAAACCCACAACCCTGGCATTGCAAGCGCCATGCTCTACCAGCAGAGCTACAGGAGCGTTTGAGACAATCAGTTGTGTTGTGACAAGGTAGGAGTGGTATACAAAAGATAGCCCTATTTGGTAAAAGACCACGTCCATATTATGGCAAGAACAGCTCAAATAAGCAAAGAGAAACGACAGTCCGTCATTACATTAAGACATGAAGGTCAGTCAATACGGAACATTTCAAGAACATTGAAAGTTTCTTCAAGTGCAGTCGCAAAAACCGTCAAGCTTTATGATGAAACTGGCTCTCATGAGGACCGCCACAGGAAAATAAGACCCAGAGTTACCTCTGCTGCAGAGGATAAGTTCATTAGAGTTACCAGCCTCAGAAATTGCAGCCCAAATAAATGCTTCACAGAGTTCAAGTAACAGACACATCTCAACATCAACTGTTCAGAGGACACTGCGTGAATCAGGCCTTCATGGTCGAATTGCTGGCAAGAAACCACTACTAAAGGACACCAATAAGAAGAAGAGACTTGCTTGGGACAAGAAACACGAGCAATGGACATTAGACAGGTGGAAATCTGTCCTTTGGTCTGATGAGTTCAAATTTGAGATTTTTGGTTCCAATCGCCATGTCTTTGTGAGACGCAGAGTAGGTGAACGGATGATCTCCGCATGTGTGGTTCCCACCATGAAGCATGGAGGAGGAGGTGTGATGGTGCTTTGCTGGTGACACTGTAGGTGATTTATTTAGAATTCAAGGCACACTTAACCAGCATGGCTACCACAGCATTCTGCAGCGATACGCCATCCCATCTGGTTTGCACTTAGTGGGACTATCATTTGTTTTTCAACAGGACAATGACCCAACACACCTCCAGGCTGTGTAAGGGCTTTTTGACCATGAAGGATAGTGACTTTGAAGAATCTAAAATCTAAAATATTTTTTTGCGCTTTTCTGCTTACTTTTTTGCTTACTACATGATTCCATATGTGTTATTTCATAGTTTTTATGTATTCACTATTATTCTACAATATAGAAAATAGTAAAAATAAAGAAAAACCCTTGAATGAGTAAGTGTGTCCAAACTTTTTACTGGTACTGTATATATATATCGTTTTTTTTTATTACATCTCCCGTTTGGCATGTTTTTGTGATGCGGTTCACAGCAGCACTGACGGATGTGTTGACTTAACAACTGCATCAGAGTTTTGAACTACCTTCCCCCCTCTTTTGTTCCTGGCTGAAGACCTAGCTAGCCAGTAACTAGCTAACACCAGACACAGATGAAAGGAGAAACATATACGTATCTTTGCCAAGTGTTTGACAAGTGTTGTAGAAGCAACTGTCATTTTTCATATTTTAGTTTCCTTCAAATAGCATCCAATTTCATGAAAAACATGATTTTGACTGTGTTTTAAAGAAAACAATAGGTTGTTTGTGACCCAACGGGCTGGTTTAAAATAACCCAACGTGTGTTACGTCCAATATTTACCAAAATTGGGTTGTTTTTAATCCAGCATTTTTTTGAGTGTACGGTATATACAGGCAACTGCCTCCCGAGTGGCGCAGCAGTCTAAGGTGCCACTACAGCCTGGGGTTTGAGGCTGTGTCACATTTACTCAAGTGGTTCTATTATTTTGGCAGTTATGATATGATAATGGACCTACATATAGTCTTCACTCTGTCCAACTTGCTAACAATCATCGAAACGAAAGCTACGGTAGACAGTCAGGGACCATCGAAAATTCCAAAAGCTATGTATAGAGGACCATTTTTTGCCGCTATGGGCCCTGGTCAAAAGTTGTGCACTATGTAGGGAATAGGGTGCCATTTCAGAAACAACTCAGGACCATGTCTATGTCCATGTCCAACTGTTACTGTTACTGTGCTAATCAATTCTCACCATGGCTGACAGCTTAGACAAATTGCTTTGGGGCCATGAGTGTTCTCACTCACTTTGAAAGTGTTCTTAAAGAGTGCGTGTGTGTGTGTCTGTGCGTGCATGTGTGAGTCTGAGAGAAATCACATTAAATAGCTTTCCAACAGAAATCCTTAGGGATATGCCTTTATATGTGCTCTGAATACATAACCACAACATGTTAACATAAATCCATATTGTATTTACATAGACAAGTACTATTGCTGTCTACAAAAGTGTCATTGGATGTCTGTGTCTTGAATCAGATTAAACCAGGTATGAAAAAATATTGAGGAGAAAGAGTTAGCGAGAGAAAAGGGCAGGAGGAAAAGGAGGAGAAACCTGGTTACATTTAGTTACCAGAGGTTTGAAATCTGAAGGATCTTGGTGCCTACCCTTGTTTCATCCTAGTCTCTCTCTCCTGAAGGTTTTGATCATCACTATCTATCAGCTGTAGATTAACTCAATATAACCCACAACTACTACTATACAGCTGTTATAGTATATAAACCAGTAAACCAGATCATGAGTCATCATTATAAAACCAACTAGTCAATGATGTTCTGTCAGGGATTATGTGACGAATGATGGTCCTATTCTGGTCTTGAAATTCTATCACATCCCAAATGAGAGCCATTGCAGCATTTAGGACTGTATCTCTGTTTCTATCCCAGAGCATCTGAATGCATGTGAATCTCTGGTTTGAATACAGGAAGATGAATAGATGCTGCTGTGTTTGAGTCACCACACGCCTAAGGCTCGTTGTGTTCCCTTTCTCTTCAGTTTGTTTGTTGATTTGACTTGGGGCTGTGGATCATGGGAAATGCATAGTGTATAAGCCACAGGGCTGGTTGCTGTATGCAGGCTACAACAGAACTGAAAGATTCCAAGTCAATATTGCATGTTTTATTTTAGACTCTAGTTTAGGTTGAGACTTCAAGGCTGGGTTTGATCATACGCATGCACGCACGCACACACACACACACTCTCAAACTTTTTTGGGCCTATAAGCACAAGCCTGGTTTGTTTAGGGGCAAACTGAGGTCAGGATGCTTATGTTTGGAAGAAATCACAGGGGTGCTCTGTGGTGTGCCACTTTCTGATTCTACACCATTCTCTTCACATTGTTTGGTCCAAGATGGTCAGATAGATTCCTTCCATTCTTCCATGTCTTGTGTGTGTGTGTGTGTGTTTGCCCACTGACAAAGAAATGATCAGTCTATAATTTTAATGGTAGGTTTATTTGAACAGTGAGAGACAGAATAACAACAAAAAAATCAGAAAGATTTCTGGCTCCCAGGTGTCTTTTATACAGGTAACGAGCTGAGATTAGGAACACACTCTTAAAGGGAGTGCTCCTAATCTCAGCTTGTTACCTGTATAAAAGACACCTGTCCACAGAAGCAATCAATCAATCAGATTCCAAACTCTCCACCATGGCCAAGACCAAAGAGCTCTCCAAGGATGTCAGGGACAAGATTGTAGACCTACACAAGGCTGGAATGGGCTACAAGACCATCGCCAAGCAGCTTGGTGAGAAGGTGACAACAGTTGGTGCGATTATTCGCAAATGGAAGAAACACAAAATAACTGTCAATCTCCCTCGGCCTGGGGCTCCATGCAAGATCTCACCTCGTGGAGTTGCAATGATCATGAGAACGGTGAGGAATCAGCCCAGAACTACACGGGAGGATCTTGTCAATGATCTCAAGGCAGCTGGGACCATAGTCACCAAGAAAACAATTGGTAACACACTACGCCGTGAAGGACTGAAATCCTGCAGCGCCCGCAAGGTCCCCCTGCTCAAGAAAGCACATATACAGGGCCGTCTGAAGTTTGCCAATGAACATCTGAATGATTCAGAGGAGAACTGGGTGAAAGTGTTGTGGTCAGATGAGACCAAAATCAAGCTCTTTGGCATCAACTCAACTCGCCGTGTTTGGAGGAGGAGGAATGCTGCCTAATACCCCAAGAACACCATCCCCACCGTCAAACATGGAGGTGGAAACATTATGCTTTGTGGGTGTTTTTCTGCTAAGGGGACAGGACAACTTCACCGCATCAAAGAGACGATGGACGGGGCCATGTACCTTCAAATCTTGGGTGAGAACCTCCTTCCCTCAGCCAGGGCATTGAAAATGGGTCGTGGATGGGTATTCCTGCATGACAATGACCCAAAACACACGGCCAAGGCAACAAAGGAGTGGCTCAAGACGAAGCACATTAAGGTCCTGGAGTGGCCTAGCCAGACCTTAATCCCATAGGAAATCTGTGGAGGGAGCTCAAGGTTCGAGTTGCCAAACGTCAGCCTCAACCTTAATGACTTGGAGAAGATCTGCAAAGAGGAGTGGAACAAAATCCCTCCTGAGATGTGTGCAAACCTGGTGGCCAACTACAAGAAACGTCTGAACTCTGTGATTGCCGACAAGGGTTTTGCCACCAAGTACTAAATCATGTTTTGCAGAGGGGTCAAATACTTATTTCCCTCATTAAAATGCAAATCAATTCATAACATTTTTGACATGCGTTTTTCTGGATTTTTTTGTTGTTATTCTGTCTCTCACTGTTCAAATAAATCTACCATTAAAAGTATAGACTGATCCTGTCTTTGTCAGTGGGCAAACATACAAAATCAGCAGGGGATCAAATACTTTTTTCCCTGACTGTATAGTATCTACTATATAATCCCTCGCTGTGCCTGGGAGCGTGTGCGCAGGCGGTGGCCGCGTGTACAGGTGGTGGTTGGTGACTGCCAGAATAGCCAGACAGTACCGTAATAAAGGACAAGTGTGGTGGTTTACCAATAAAACAACAGTTACTGCTAGTCATCAATACACTACGGTGTGACAGAGATTGCATTATATTAACACCTCATTGAGAGGAAGCAGAGTAGGTACTGTGGCTCTCATAGAAAGCTTGGCTGCATGGTGTGGCCCAGTTAAATGAGCTGTGTGTGTGTGTGTGTGTGTGTGTGTGTGTGTGTGTGTGTGTGTGTGTGTGTGTGTGTGTGTGTGTGTGTGTGTGTGTGTGTGTGTTGCTGCAGTTGTTGTGATGTTGTGATGGTAATGAAGGGAGGGAAACTGCTGCCATCTGAAGTAAAAAGAAAAACACTGACATTTGCAAAATTGCTCCAGATTCATGGCTTCACGCAGGGGCACATAATACATGAATGCATAATGAATTCCTTCACAAGAATAATTATAGACAGAGCAGAGTGGCCGGTATGAAGGCTGCATGCACGCACACACACACACTATAGGCTTTATGGAACAATGTACTCACAAACTTTTCATCCGTGGTATATAGAGGCTCATTGGTTGAACCCCAAGAGACGTGTACGTATTCCTATTAAACCCAGGAGGGTGTGTGACACTAGTTTTGTTGTTTAAAAAAATGCCTCTTCTTCTTGTGTTCAGGGCACCAGTGACTTCTGTGTGACCCCAGACAAGTTCATCATGAACCAGACCAAGGACCTGATCAGTTCTGGTGAGTTAAAGACAAATGCTTTTAATGTCACTTTAATTAAGCTATAATTACAAGGTGATTAAACTCACCCCGGGCTGTAGTCTTTCTGACTTGTTGTTGGTGTATCCCTGTCCTCTACAGATATAGTGCATTACTACCTGTACTGCAGCCAGACCCTCACCAACCCATTCCAGCAGGTAATACTCATCACCACCAGCACAGGGTCAATGAAACCTGCTTTGACCTTTCTGTCTCCCTGTTTCTATCTGACCTCTTTCTGTCTCTTTTTCTCTACCTCTACACCCCTCCTCTTCTAACTGTCTTGTACTCTCTCTCTCTCTCTCTCTCTCTCTCTCTCTCTCTCTCTCTCTCTCTCTGTGTCGCCCCCCCCCTCCCCTCCATCCTTCCCTCTCTCCATCTCCCTCAAGGGGTCCAGCAAGGTCTCCAAGTCTCTCAGAAGGAGAGGATGAGGTTTTTAGGTCAGGGCAGTGAGAAGTAGTCTCTTTCTCTCTCCAGCCTCAGCTAGCTCCATAACTCAATAGAGTTCAGATCCTATTATGCTGTGCTTGTAAACATGCCCCTAAGGATCAAGAGAATGCAGCAACAGAGTGCAGGCAAGCGTTACCCAGCCTGCTCAGTCAGCACACATTCACCTGAGCACGGAAACACAGAGATCGCTCACTGAGACACACATACACGCATGCACACACACACACACACAGTTATTGGATCGTAGACATGCCACCGAGACAAATTCGGAAAATTTTTAGATCAAAGAAGGTAAATTATGGCTGCTGCTATAGCTGCTGGTGTGGGGTAATTGACTGTGTCTTGCTTCAATTAAGGACTGTCTGTACCATTGGGCACTTATTGTCCCAGTATATTTTGTAATGGTTGGGGACACTCAAACTATGTTTTGATTTACTGTGATGTGACAGGTTAACCCATTAATGCTGTTAGATGTCATTTGATGATTTAAATCTACACAGCAAATTCTCCAGTGTTAAAAAACTAAACAAAATTAACACTGAGAGTGTTAAATCAACACTGAAAGTGTTGCGTATGTGGACCCATATAGACACCAGAACAGTCTTAAATTAACACACTGCTTAGTGTAAAGCCTTATTAAAATATTTCCCAGAGTGCCTTGCCTTTCGAGTAAATTGTAGAGTTACCAATCATGACTGTATTTGTTAATGACAGAGACATGGTTGCATTCATCCATTTTCGGTCCTATGGACTTTACCAAGTGAGATCCTAAGCGAATATGTTATCATTCTTTTTTGTTATTATTTAACAAAATACCTTACATATTTCATGAGGCCTTATTTTGAGGGCCTAGTTTTATCCTAATACAGGGGCCTCAAACTTGTACATAAGGGTGTAGGCTGTAGGGTGTCAGCAAATGTAATGAAATGTGCATTTGGGAAGTATTCAGACCCCTTGACCTTTTCCACATTTTGTTACGTTACAGCCTTATTCTAAAATGGATTAAATAGTTGTTTCCCCCTCATCAATCTACACACAATACCCCATAATGACAAAGCAAAAACATGTTTTTAGATTTTTTTGCAAAAACTGAAATATAACATTTACATAAATATTCAGACCCTTTACTCAGTACCTTGTTGAAGCACCTTTGGCAGCGATTACAGCCTCGAGTCTTCTTGGGTATGACGCTACAAGCTTGGCACACCAGTATTTGGGGAGTTTCTCCCATTCTTCTCTGCAGATCCTCTCAAGCACTGTCAGGTTGGATGGGAGCATTGCTGCACAGCTATTTTCAGGTCTCTCCAGAAATGTTTGATCGGGTTCAACAAACATCCCCACAGCATGATGCTGCCACCACCATCCTTCACCGTAGGGATGGTGTCAGGTTTCCTCCAGATGTGACGCTTGGCATTCAGGCCAAAGAGTTTATTCTTGGTTTCATCAGACCAGAGAAACTCCAAGCGGGCTGTCATGTGCCTTTTACTGAGAAGTGACTTCTGTCTGGCCACTCTACCATAAAGGCCTGATTGGTGGAGTCCTGCAGAGATGGTTGTCCTTCTGGAAGGTTCTCCCATATCCACAGAGGAACTCTGGAGCTCTGTGAGAGTGACGATCAGGCCCTTCTCCCCCAATTGCTCAGTTTGGCCGGGCGGCCAGCTCTAGGAAGAGTCTTGGTAGTTCCAAACTTCTTCCATTTAAGAATGATGGAGGCCACTGTTTTCTTGGGGACCTTCAATGCTGCAGAAATGTTTTAGTACCCTTCTCCAGATCTGTGCCTTGACACAATCCTGTCTCTGAGCTCTACGGATATTTCCTTCGACCTCATGGCTTGGGTTTTGCTCTGACATGCACTGTCAACTGTGGGACCTTATATAGAAAGGTGTGTGCCTTTCCAAATCATGTGCAATCAGTTGAATTTACCACAGGTGGACTCCAATCAAGTTGTAGAAACATCTCAATGATGATCAATGGAAACAGGATGCACCTGAACTCAATTTCGAGTCTCATAGCAAAGGGTCTGAATACTTATGTAAATAAGGTATTTATGTTTTCTATATTTAATACATTTGCAAAAATTTCTAAAAACCTGTTTTCGCTTTGTCATTATGGGGTATTTTGTGTAGATTGCAGATTTAAAAAATATATATATATATACATTTTTGAATACGGCTGTAACGTAACAAAATATTGAAAAAGGGAAGGGGTCTGAATACTTTCAGAATGCACTGTATATGTTTCCCCTCTCATCTGTGTCTGGTGTTAGCTAGCAGCCAGCATGGAACAAAAGGGAGGGAAGGGTCATTCAGAACTCTGACGTTGTTGTCATGTCAACACATCCGTCAGTGCTGCTGTGCATTGCATCACAAGTGACATACAAAATTGGGAGATGCATAATTTTTTGGGGACATCAATGATGCAATTTCAATATTGTTTGAGTTGCTTTGTGTATCACCAAATTAGCTTGAGATAGTTTTACTGCAACACTGCTCACTACATCCAAGCATTTTGAGCATTTCTTTCCCCAAAAACATTATGGGTGATATTTTTGTCACTCAACAGGCTATTTTACATTGGAATCAGAATGACTGCTCGGGACCTTTAAAGAGGAGCTGGTTGGAGAGATTTATGCTGCCAACTACTGTAGAAACAGCTGAGGTGTAGTCATCCTGATAAACAAGAATACACCCATTTTCCCTTATATCCCAGCACACAGACCAAAAAGGCTATTTTCTCATTTAGAATTGTTCCTTATATGGTGAAATATACACATTGATTTCATTGTATATCCCCCCAGTGGCACATCTGGTGTTTTTAGATTTAATTCAGGCTATATTAGATCAAATCCAGACAGGAACTATTATTTTAGCAAGCGACCTAAATCACACATTCGGCAAGTTAGACAGACACAGCAATAAAAAAGGGAAATTCAAGGAGCCTCCAAGGAGGCTGAACATTTTCATCTCTACAAATAATTTACAAGACAGCTGGAGATTACTATTCCCAACTACAAAAGAGTACTCATTTTTTTCTCAAAATAAGAAAAGCTATTCAAGAATTGACTACATTTTATTCTACAAAAATGTGCTCAACAATATACTGGTTTTAAAAAATCCATGACTGTGAAAACGGATCATTCTCCTTTATCATGCTTAATTATACCAACAGAAAAGACACTTAGTGACAGAATATGTAGAATGAACAGGGCGCATCTTCAAGACCCGAAATGTATTAAATACGTGAAGTGTACAGTGAGGGAAAAAAGTATTTGATCCCCTGCTGATTTTGTACATTTGCCCACTGACAAAGAAATTATCAGTCTATAATTTTAATGGTAGGTTTATTTGAACAGTGAGAGACAGAATAACAACAAAAGAATCCAGAAAAACGCATGTCAAAAATGTTATAAATTGATTTGCATTTTAATGTAGGAAATAAGTATTTGACCCCCTCTCAATCAGAAAGATTTCTGGCTCCCAGGTGTCTTTTATACAGGTAATGAGCTGAGATTAGGAGCACACTCTTAAAGGGAGTGCTCCTAATCTCAATTTGTTACCTGTATAAAAGACACCTGTCCACAGAAGCAATCAATCAATCAGATTCCAAACTCTCCACCATGGCCAAGACCAAAGAGCTCTCCAAGGATGCCAGGAACAAGATTGTAGACCTACATAAGGCTGGAATGGGCTACAAGACCATCGCCAAGCAGCTTGGTGAGAAGGTGACAACAGTTGGTGCGATTATTCGCAAATGGAAGAAACACAAAAGACCTGTCAATCTCCCTCGGCCTGGGGCTCCATGCAAGATCTCACCTTGTGGAGTTGCAATGATCATGAGAACGGTGAGGAATCAGCCCAGAACTACACGGGAGGATCTTGTCAATGATCTCAAGGCAGCTGGGACCATAGTCACCAAGAAAACAATTGGTAACACACTACGCCGTGAAGGACTGAAATCCTGCAGAGGAATGCTGCCTATGACCTCAAGAACACCATCCCCACCGTCAAACATGGAGGTGGAAACATTATGCTTTGGGGGTGTTTTTCTGCTAAGGGGACAGGACAACTTCACCGCATCAAAGGGACGATGGACGGGGTCATGTACTTTCAAATCTTGGGTGAGAACCTCCTTCCCTCAGCCAGGGCATTGAAAATGGGTCGTGGATGGGTATTCCAGCATGACAATGACCCAAAACACACGGCCAAGGCAACAACGGAGTGGCTCAAGAAGAAGCACATTAAGGTCCTGGAGTGGCCTAGCCAGTCTCCAGACCTTAATCCCATAGAAAAGTGGGACAAAATCCCTCCTGAGTGGGACAAAATCCCTCCTGAGATGTGTGCAAACCTGGTGGCCAACTACAAGAAAAGTCTGACCTCTGTGATTGCCAACAAGGGTTTTGCCACCAAGTCATGTTTTGCAGAGGGGTCAAATACTTATTTCCCTTCTTAAAATGGAAATCCATTTATAACATTTTTGACATGCGTTTTTCTAGATTTTTTTTTTGTTATTCTGTCTCTCACTGTTCAAATAAACCTACCTTTAAAATTATAGACTGATCAAGTCTTTGTCAGTGGGCAAACTTACAAAATCAGCAGGGGATCAAATACTTTTTTTCCTCACTGTATATGTATATTTCAAGACGTGGCATATGAGGTTGCAGTGAGATACCCAATGGGTTGGACTATACTTTTCTTTTCAATCATTTTGAAAAACACGTTTACGATAGAGGAATCAAATTATCCTCTATCGTTAAGACAGCGGATGAATCAAATGCTTTATTATTTAAATATTGAAATAGCGCAATTTGAGGCCAAATGGCATAGAGTGTTACAAGCACTTGAAATGTCCAAGGGATGAAGAATGAGAGGGAATGTTGTTGTTGTGAGACAAACGGGATGGGTATGGATGTGGTGAGAACATGTTGGTCTGAGCAGGTGTGATGTCATTGATGGTTGCTGAAATGTGTGTACAGCTGTCTATTGTCTTTTGTCTATGTATGATTTGTATTGTTAGAAAATAAAAATACTAATTTATCTTACCAAAAAAAATGAAACTCATACACATTACTTTGAACCAAAACCACGCCGACCATTATAATATTTCCCAGCATGCTCTATTGCAGGTAGATTTTTATGAATTGTTTGTTTCAATATTTATGTTTGTGCATTGATTGATTAATGAATTAATCTTATGCTACTCAAATATAATTTACAAACATTTTCTAAACTAATCCAGTATGTTACTTGAAATTATTGCACCCACAAATGGTTGTTCCAGTTTAGATTCTTTAGGTAGTCTCATTGCTTAGCGTTCCTGGTAGTTATTCTGAATACAGGTTGCGAGAAGATGTACCGGTATATCCCAACACTGGCTGGATTCCAATAGGAATTACACATCACCTTGCAAGCCTGCCAGATATGATTTGTAGGCCTGATGTGGTGTGTAAACCAATGCTTCAGGCCAGTGTATTACACTTTGGGGAAAAAATGATTAGATTTGTTCCTAAAGGGTTACAAACACTTGTCACAGTAGTGGTAACCCTGTAAGGTCATCCTTTGTACCTTTAGTTATAAGTTCACACAAGCCACATTAGATTTGGAAGTAAGGTTGAAAACTTCCAGTGACTTTCCCAGAATTTGCAGATTTTCCAAAAATCCTGGTTGAAGGATTTCGAATTTCCTGTTTCCATTTCCAGGAAACATCCAAACAGGATTTTTGGAAAACCTGGTAATTTTGGGAAAGTTAACACAATTTCACACTTACCTGCAAATTACATTATGCTGGCTTGCAAAGTGATACGGAACTCCAATTGGAATCCAGACAGAGTTAGAATAGCCAACAGTTGGAAAACACTACTTAAGACATTTAAACTGGAACAAACATTTCAGTAATGGGTGCAACAAATCAACCTGCAATAGAGCATGCTGGGAAATATGATAATGATGGGCTTGGTTTTGGTTCAACGTGATGTGTATGAGTTTCAGGCCCTTTTTTTAGGGTAAAACTAGGCCATCTACATATGGTATTGTGTTAAAGATTTTAGCGTTTTTATGATAACATGTTCACTTAGGATCTCACTTGGTGTATTCAATAGGACCGAAAATGGATGAACGCAACAATGTCTATGTCACTAACCAATATAAGTCATGGGTGGTAACTCTACAATTTACTCGAAAGGCAAGGCACTCACAGTGTGTTAATTTAACACTGTTCCGGTATCTATATTGGTCCACAGACTCATCACTTCCAGTGTTGATTTAACACTCTGTGTTCTTTTTTTTCTTTTTTTTACACTGGAGAATTTGCTGTGTAGGGTTTGAGTCATAGGGCTCACACTACGGTCAGAAGTAGGATCAGCTCTAGGATCAGCCTACACTCCCAAAATTCCTTAGATCAGTGTCTACGGGGTAAATTCATGTGATTTACAGTCTACTTGCTGTTCTGGGGTGGAGTGCACAGGGCGGATCGTACAGATTCTGTTGGATGAGACTAGCTTGCTGTTAATGATTGGCTTTTGTCGCCCTCTGCTGGACAAAAGCCGAACTGACAAGCCCACTAGTGTATTAAAGGGATAATTCACCCCAAACCACTAATTCCTATGATTAACAGTATTACTAACACTAATATGTGAAAACAATATTTTTATGATTTTTTTACTCCCTTTTTCGATCTTGTGTCATTGCTGCAACTCCCCAACGGGATCGGGAGGCGAAGGTTGAGTCATGCATCCTCCGAAACATGACCTGCCAAACCACACTTCTTGCCTGCTTAACCTGGAAGCCAGCCGAACCAATGTGTCGGAGGAAACACCGTTCACCTGATGACTGAGGTCAGCCTGCAGGCGCCCGGCCCATCACAAGGAGTCGCTAGAGCACGATGAGCCAAACCCTTCCCTAACCCGACCAAACCCTTCCCTAACCCGGATGACGCTGGGCCAATTGTGCGCCTTCCTATGGGACTCCCGATCACGGCCGGTTGTGATACAGCCCGGGATCGAACCCAGGTCTGTAGTGACGCCTCTAGCATTGCATTGCAGTCAGTGCCTTAGACCGCTGTGCCACTCGGGAGGCCCCAAAAACAATATTTTTTTGTGAACAAATGTTTCATTTTGTCGTTATAGCAAGGTTGGTAGCAACATGTGAAAAATCGTTGTGGAAATCTGTTGCAGCTCGAGTCGACTACAAAACCCACTGCTTGCTCTCTGGGCAGGCTGGCTAGCTAACAAACGTAACTACACACATTAATACCAAAGTCAATATCAGCATGTGAAGTACAGTTGAAGTTGGAAGTTTACATACAACATAACCAACTACATTTAAACTCAGTTTTTCACAATTCCTGACATTTAACCCTAGTAAAAATTCCCTGTCTTAGGTCAGTTAGGATCACCACTTTATTTTAAGAATGTGAAATGTCAGAATAATAGTAGAGAGATTTATTTCAGCTTTTATTTCTTTCATCACATTCCCAGTGGGTCAGAAGTTTACATACACTCAATTAGTATTTGGTAGCATTGCCTTTAAATTGTTTAACTTGGGTCAGCCGTTTCAGGTAGCCTTCTACAAGCTTCCCACAATAAGTTGGGTGAATTTTGGCCCATTCCTTCTGACAGAGCTGGTGTAACTGAGTCAGGTTTGTAGGCCTCCTTGCTCGCACACGCTTTTTCAGTTCTGCCCACAAATCTTCTATAGGATTGAGGTCAGGTCTTTGTGATGGCCACTCCAATACCTTGACTTTGTTGTCCTTAAGCCATTTTGCCACAACTTTGGAAGTATGCTTGGGGTCATTGTCCATTTGCGACCAAGCTTTAACTTCCTGACTGATGTCTTGAGATGTTGCTTCAATATATCCACATAAGTTTCCTTCCTCATGATGCCATCTATTTTGTGAAGTGCACCAGACCCCTTTTTCCTCCAAACATAACATTTAAGTCATTTAGCAGACGCTCTTATCCAGAGCGACTTACAGTTAGTGAGTGCATACATAATTTTTTATACTGCAGTTGCAAACCGTAGTCTGGCTTTTTTATGGCGGTTTTGGAGCAGTGGCTTCTTCCTTGCTGAGCGGACTTTCAGGATATGTCGATATAGGACTCGTTTTACTGTGGATATAGATACTTTTGTATCTGTTTCCTCCAGCATCTTCACACGGTCCTTTGCTGTTGTTCTGGGATTGATTTGCACTTTTTGCACCAAAGTACGTTATTCTCTAGTGTGGTATGACGGCTGCGTGGTCCCATGGTGTTTATACTTGCGTACTATTGTTTGTACATATGAACGTGGTACCTTCAGGCGTTTGGAAATTGCTCCCAAGGATGAACCAGACTTTTGTTTCTGAGGTCTTGGCTGATTTCTTTTGATTTTACCATGATGTCAAGCAATGAGGCACTGAGTTTGAAGGTAGGCCTTGAAATACATCTACAGGTACACCTCCAATTGACTCAAATGATGTCAATTAGCGTATCAGCAGCTTTTAAAGCCATGACATCATTTTCTGGAATTTTCCAAGCTGTTTAAAGGCACCGTCAACTTAGTGTATGTAAACTTCTGACCCACTGGAATTGTGATACAGTGAATTATAAGTGAAATAGTCTGTCTGTAAAGAATTGTTGGAAAAATTACTTGTGTCATGCACAAAGTAGAAGTCCTAACCGACTTGCCAAAACTATAGTTTGTTAACAAGACATTTGTGGAGTGGTTGAAAAACGAGTTTTAATGATTCCAACCTAAGTGTATGTAAACTTCCGACTTCAACGGTAGTTAGCTAGCTAGCTGTAAAATCGCCTAAACAAACAGCGCCATCAATTTAGGAGTCTATATCACCAAGTTTAAAAAATATATATTAATTATTTTTACCCCCTTTTTCTCCCCAATTTCGATCAATCTCACCGAGTTCAGCTTGCAGTTCCTCTCTGCCCAGAGCGCGGAGTATGTTGCTATGTCAACAACAACACTTTCCCATGTTTCCCACAGACACACAGGGCGCATTGGGAGATGGTACTTGAAGGAGAAACTGAGTTGAATCATTTGGTACAGTGTTTAGATTGAGCACACCTAAGTGAAATATATACATTTACATTTACATTTACGTCATTTAGCAGACGCTCTTATCCAGAGCGACTTACAAATTGGTGCATGCACCCTATAGCCAGTGGGATAACCACCTTACAATATGTTTTATTTATTTATTTATTTATTTATTTTTTTTTGGGGGGGGGGGGGGGGGTAGAAGGATTACTTTATCCTATCCCAGGTATTCCTTAAAGAGGTGGGGTTTCAAATGTCTCCGGAAGGTGGTGAGTGACTCCGCTGTCCTGGCGTCGTGAGGGAGCTTGTTCCACCATTGGGGTGCCAGAGCAGCGAACAGTTTTGACTGGGCTGAGCGGCAACTATGCTTCCGCAGAGGAAGGGGAGCCAGCAGGCCAGAGGTGGATGAACGCAATGCCCTCGTTTGGGTGTAGGGACTGATCAGAGCCTGAAGGTACAGAGGTGCCGATCCCCTCACAGCTCCATAGGCAAGCACCATGGTCTTGTAACAGATGCGAGCTTCAACTGGAAGCCAGTGGAGTGTGCGGAGGAGCGGGGTGACGTGAGAGAACTTGGGAAGGTTGAACACCAGACGGGCTGCGGCATTCTGGATGAGTTGTAGGGGTTTAATGGCACAGGCAGGGAGCCCAGCCAACAGCGAGTTGCAGTAATCCAGACGGGAGATGACAAGTGCCTGGATTAGGACCTGTGCCGCTTCCTGTGTAAGGCAGGGTCGTACTCTCCGAATGTTGTAGAGCATGAACCTGCAGGATCGGGTCACCGCCTTGATGTTAGCAGAGAACGACAGGGTGTTGTCCAGGGTCACGCCAAGGCTCTTCGCACTCTGGGAGGAGGACACAACGGAGTTGTCAACCGTGATGGCGAGATCATGGAACGGGCAGTCCTTCCCCGGGAGGAAGAGCAGCTCCGTCTTGCCAGGGTTCAGCTTGAGGTGGTGATCCGTCATCCATACTGATATGTCTGCCAGACATGCAGAGATGCGATTCGCCACCTGGTTATCAGAAGGGGGAAAGGAGAAGATTAGTTGTGTATCGTCAGCGTAGCAATGATAGGAGAGACCATGTGAGGATATGACAGAGCCAAGTGACTTGGTGTATAGGGAGAATAGGAGAGGGCCTAGAACTGAGCCCTGGGGGACACCAGTGGTGAGAGCACGTGGTGCGGAGACAGCTTCTCGCCACGCCACTTGGTAGGAGCGACCGGTCAGGTAGGACGCAATCCAGGAGTGAGCCGCGCCGGAGATGCCCAGCTCGGAGAGGGTGGAGAGGAGGATCTGATGGTTCACAGTATCAAAGGCAGCAGACAGGTCTAGAAGGACAAGAGCAGAGGAGAGAGAGTTAGCTTTAGCAGTGCGGAGAGCCTCCGTGACACAGAGAAGAGCAGTCTCAGTTGAATGACCAGTCCTGAAACCTGACTGGTTTGGATCAAGAAGGTCATTCTGAGAGAGATAGCAAGAGAGTTGGCTAAAGACGGCACGCTCAATAGTTTTGGAAAGAAAAGAAAGAAGGGATACTGGTCTGTAGTTGTTGACATCAGTGGGATCGAGTGTTGGTTTTTTGAGAAGGGGTGCAACTCTCGCTCTCTTGAAGACGGAAGGGACATAGCCAGCGGTCAAGGATGAGTTGATCAGCGAGGTGAGGTAGGGGGAGAAGGTCACCGGAGATGGTCTGGAGAAGAGAGGAGGGGATGGGGTCAAGCGGGCAGGTTGTTGGGCGGCCTGCAGTCACAAGTCGCAGGATTTTATCTGGAGAGAGAGGGGAGAAAGAAGTCAAAGCATAGGGTAGGGCAGTGTGAGAAGGACCAGCAGTGTCATTAGACTTAACAAACGAGGATCGGATGTCGTCAACCTTCTTTTCAAAGTGGTTGACAAAGTCATCCACTGAGAGAGAGGAGGGGGGGGGGGGAGGATTCAGCAGGGAGGAGAATGTGGCAAAGAGCTTCCTAGGGTTAGAGGCAGATGCTTGGAATTTAGAGTGGTAGAAAGTGGCCTTAGCAGCAGAAACAGATGAAGAAAATGTAGAGAGGAGGGAGTGAAAAGATGCCAGGTCGGCAGGGAGTTTAGTTTTCTTCCATTTCCGCTCCGCTGCCCGGAGCTCTGTTCTGTGAGCTCGCAATGAGTCATCAAGCCACGGAGCTGGAGGGGAGGACCGAGCCGGCCGGGAGGATAGGGGACACAGAGAGTCAAAGGATGCAGAAAGGGAGGAGAGGAGGGTTGAGGAGGCAGAATCAGGAGATTGGAGGGAGAAGGATTGAGCAGAGGGAAGAGATGATAGGATGGAAGAGGAGAGAGTAGTGGGAGAGAGAGAGCGAAGGTTGCGGCGGCGCATTACCATCTGTGTAGGGGCAGAGTGAGTAGTGTTGGAGGAGAGCGAGAGAGAAAAGGATACAAAGTAGTGGTCGGAGACATGGAGGGGAGTTGCAGTGAGATTAGTAGAAGATTAGCATCTAGTAAAGATGAGGTCAAGCGTATTGCCTGCCTTGTGAGTAGGGGGGGACGGTGAGAGGGTGAGGTCAAAAGAGGAGAGGAGTGGAAAGAAGGAGGCAGAGAGAAATTAGTCAAATGTAGACGTAGGGAGGTTGAATCCCCAAATCCCATTTTCCCCCCAAAAACCTCTCAAGGGATATTGAAAGGAGAAAGGGCAAGGTCCCTTGGTTAAAGAATTCATCTGAGCAGTGCTTTTGGGGGCTTCAGTTAGTGAGGATTTTTTGTTATAGAGAAAGCAAGCCGGTTTAGAAGGCGTTTTGGGGCACTCGGTTTCTCCTTCTTTTAAAGGTTGACTCAAATTTTTTAAAAGAGGGGGGGGAATTACAGGGAAGAATTTTGAAAGGGTTGGTTTCCCCGATGCTTTAAAAGGGTTGCTTTTTCGCGAGATTGATGAAAAGGAGTTAAAAGAGGTTGAGGGTAGGGTCCTTTTTCCTTTCCTGCTCGCTTGTTCTTTACTGAAAGTCACACCCAGGTTGGGGGGAAAAGCCCGGAGGATGGCCCCCCCCGAAGGGGGGGAGGTTGGCGATTAATTTTTTGGTTTAAATGAGCAAGAAGAGAGAGGTTTTAAGGTAGGGGTGAAAACCAAGGTTCCTCCATTACCAAATTTTTTAGGGGTAGGTTTAAGGGGAAAAAAAAGTACAAAGTAGGGAACATGGGGGGGGTTTTTTTAGTGGTTAAAAGGCTCAATTAATGTTTAAACTTTGCCCGCCTTTTATGGGGGACGTGAAATTTTGTAAAAAGGGGGGGAAAGAAGGGGAAAAAATTACTGTATGACAGTAGAGGTTAACCATGGAAATAAGTTAAAGAATTTTAAGGGGCAACATTTAAATTCCAAGGAACCTAGGGGTAATGACAAGGTATGTTAAATGGGTGGGTGTACAAAGGTCAAAAAGGATCAATGGGTTAAAAATTAAAAAATATTTATTTAAATTTTTCCCCTTTCCCCCCAATTCGACCCAAACTCACCGGTTCAGGCCCTCCTTTGCAGAGTGCGGATTTTTTGTATGTAACAACGGTAAAGTTTCCACAAGACCAACAACGATGGGATTGGTATCTGGAAAAGGGCAGGTTAATTTTGTACAATGTTTAGATTGACAATGTGTTATCCCTGAGGAGAACCATAGTCTTCACCATCTTGACTAGATACATGGGGATGTTTTTTACCATTGATAGACATAGCTTCCCAACTTGACAGGAGTTTCATGATTGTTATTTCTGGGGGTGAATTATCCCTTTAAATGTACAATACCCAGAAGTTGACATGTTGTTTTGTGTGTGTGTTTGCAGTCTCTGACCATCTTCCAGAGGTCTCTGACCACCATGCAGATCCAAATACAGGGCCTGCTGCAGTTCGCTGTGCCTCTCTTCCCCACCGCTGAGGTCAGTGTTTCATTTTCCTGTGGCATAATGTGTCTGGTCTGTGTAAGTATATCATTTTATGAGTACTGAATCCTACACTTGTCTTCTCGACAGAGAGACCTATTGGGCATCCAGCACCTGCTCAACTCCTCAGAGGCTAGCCTCCACCAGTTGACTGCCCTGCTGGACTGTAGAGGACTCAACAAGGTACAGGACACCACCACTGAATCCCACTGCATGGATCTAGTTCTACAGGACAGTGGCTCTGCTGTGTACATCTCTTCACTTCACAACATGTCTCAGACAGACATTGTCTGCTATCTGCTAATGTGTGTGTGTGTGTGTGTTTCCTCCCTCCACGCTGTAGGACTACCTGGATGCGCTAATCGGTGTGTGTTATGACGGGGTGGAGGGCCTGCTATACCTATGCCTCTTCTCCATCCTGGCAATTTGTGCCTTCTGTGCCATGCTGTGTGCCATCCCCCGGGCATGGACACATATCGCCAGCAGGTCAGGGGGGGCCCTCCCACTGAGTCTCTTTCAATACATTTACATTACATTTTAGTCATTTAGCAGACACTCTTATCCAGAGCATTTTGCTAAAGTAGGTAAGACAACCACATATCATGATCACGAGAATAGCAAAACCAGTGCTAGTAAGAATCAATCACTATCTTTCTCTCTCTCTATCGCCCTTTTATAGAACAAGAGTGTATACATCCTTTGTGTTTATACTGTACATACACTATAACAAGTCACTAAATCATCCTCAAAATCTATTCTCCTGACCTCCACCCTTTCTCTTCTCTCCAGGGAGCGTGACTATGACGATATAGACGAGGAGGACCCGTTTAACCCTCAGGCCAGACGCATGACGGCCCACAACCCCAACCATGCCACCAACATGCACAGCTTCTGCAGCTACAGCAGCAGTATGGGCAGCCAGAGCAGCCTCCACCCACCTGCCGCACAGGCTGTGTCCAATGCACCCGTTTCAGAGTACATGTGAGTCAGAGTCCAGCCCTGGTCTGGTGTGGAATGTATGGTAATGCACAGTCTGGTGTGCTATACGTATGAACATACTGAAGCTTAAGTAAAGCTAACTGAAATGTAGTGATCATAATCGCAAAGATGACATACTGGCCCAAAGTGCTATGTTCTTGTGCGATGGCCACTTTTTTGGTGATAGGGAATGTTTGTTTGACTCTCTCCTTCGCTCTCCCTCTCTCGCCCTTCTCAGGAACCAGTCGGCGCTGTTCGGGGGGAACCCGCGGTACGAGAATGTTCCTCTGATCGGGAGAGGCTCCCCGCCCCCCTCGGTGCGTTGGGTCCCAGAGGCCATGTCTTTCTTGTGATGTCACACAGGGTTGGGGTCAATTCCAATGTGGAAAATTGGAATTGTAATTTCAGTTTGAAATGTCAGTTTGCTTTCTGAATTGACTGAATTGAAATTGATCCCATCCCTGATGCCACTGTCCCACATACTCTCAAGTCAATCTGCATTGTAATACTGATCTCTCTCTCATCACCAGGATTTCTGTTCTGTTATTTAATTGATTCAGTGACCCGGTAGGACTTGTTCCTTTGTTTATTTTCTGTTTGCATGTCAGCTCTGGTAAAGACCTGACAGCTAGGGCTCAGACTGCTTTTTAACTCTAGCTTGAGGCGTTTCCCCATATGATGCTCTCTCTGCATGATGCCTTCCTTAACTTGCTCAAGTCAGTGTTACTTTGACTTGAAGTTGGTCTTGTAGTTTGTTTCTCATGAGTTGTGATGTGAGAGTTTTTCACAAGATATGACGTCCATATGATAATACATTTCCAATATTGAAATCCATCAGTAAGGATTTTGATCATGATCATAATTTTAATCACATATCACAGAGCACACTGCTAACTTTGTGCCTTTACCTGTCTATCTACCATAACTGTAAATTGCTGACTCATTACAGAAGGAGTAGGACATTGAGAGAGAAGTTTAACGTGGACATACTGTACTGTACATGTATTTAAGATGAGTTGGAAGCGTGTTACTTAGACCAATGCCCAGGGGAAGATGTCACTGGTGTTAGTCCCTATTTGGTCACTTTCCTTCTCTCTAAAAGTATCTCTCTCTCCCTCTCTCTTTATTTCTCTCACTCTTCCTGGTCCTCATGATAAATTCACCTCCATCTAGGGCCTCGTAGTGGCAGCTCTTTAGATCTATTCTCCTTTCCTGTTGAGGAGACAGGCCACGTTTTTAGGATGACTAAATGTTTCATCAAGCTTAACCTTTCATAGGCCTGCTGTGCCTAATGACATTTGATAAAGAGACAGATCTCATATATTATGGGTATCGGAGTCTGTTTAAATCTACTGTAGCTGCCTGCCATCCTTCCCATGGGATGATGTTTTTATATTTGACTGAATATAAGGTTTTTACCTGAGGCTAATGCTGAGTCCCAAATGGCACCAATACAACATCTTATTTATTTTATTTGAAAAGCAGTGGATTAGATAGGGAGCCATTTGGGACGAGCCCTAAAGTGTTATACCGTATCTACCTCGGTGCGTTCCCCTGCCCTCTCTCTCTACTACCAGTCTTTAGCCAATTTGGCTGTGACGATTATGTAATGTCATGTGGTGCCTTTCTGGACTCATACCTACCTTTCTGCAAAGCGTGCACTCTACTTTTTCAGCTAACAGCTTCTTTTATATTTTTTATTTGTTTGTTTGTTGTTTATATGTTTGTTTGTATTTAATTTCTTACTTCCTTCTTTTTTTTATCAACTTTTGGAGGTATACACTCAGCAATTTAGAAACAGAGTAAGTTGTTTTCTGCTCCTCTTTGGACCTCTCTACTGTCTGAAGGACAAGATAGACTCCCAGTTGCTTTTCCCCATGCCTTTGTTTCAAATCATCTATTTTTTTATTTACCTCCATTTTCATTTTGGAACTGCATTTTCTATTTCACCTCTGGCATGGCTTTGAACTGCAAACCTCACTGTTCATGACATCATCCTCATTACATCTTAATTCGTCACCGTCATCATTCCAGTTGTATGTTTGACCCAGTCAGGTCTGTCTCCCCCTGCTGTTGGGAGTGTGGTGATGTACCCTATCCTCACGTCTCCTCCCTGGGTTCGGACATGTTTTCAGAGACACATCGGGCAGCCCTATGTGTGCATGCCGCAAACCTTCCCTCTATGTAATTCTATAGCTTTTACCGCCATGAGATGCCGAGCGTCAGGCTTGTCATCATGCTTGGTCTGGTGCTATAGAATTCTAGAGTCATGGTATGCCCCTTGTCTCACCTACCATCTGAGAAGGCTTGATCAATAAGGAGGGACCTACAGTGTTATCCCCTCAATGCTTGGCATAGGCACAGGATTGTCTCCCCTAGCTACCTACCCTTCCTTCCTGTCTCGCTGGTTAGATACTGTTCTGAAAGAGTACTATATTATTCTATACTGTTGTGTGTGTCATTCACTATAAGTTGCCCGGTGTTGCCTCTAATTGTGTGTCCTTTGATATTCTGTTTTCCCCTACAGTACTCCCCCAGCATGAGGGCTACATACCTGTCCATGACTGAGGACCAGATCAGACACTTTGGGAATGATTTCCAGGCATAGACCTGCTCCTCCCTCCCTCCTTCCTCTCTTTCATTTCTGCCATCTCCAAGAGGGGTTCTCAAACAGGCGAACACGCACACACACAAATACAACTACTCCAGCAGTGTGTGACTTTGTGGCTGCTGCATGGACCCTATCCTCGTCCAACTCACTGGAATGGACCAAGGCCTGATATGAGGAAAGGTGTCACACACACAGTTGTCCCATCCCAAACCCCAGAGCATAATGTGTATGTCTTAGTTACCATGACTCCAGCCCATATTCTATTATATGATTCTATTCATTCTATTTCTGTGCTCCACAGGGCTGGACTACCACATTTAGGACCCCTGGGCACCTACCTCCAGGGGGACCCCCAACCCCCCAAAACACAGATTTCTTTGGGGAAACAGCTAACTTCCTGCATTTTAACACATTTTGCCATGGGGTAGAGAGAAAAATGTGCTGTTTTATAGCTCATCTCATGGTATTCTTCACATTTTGCCATGAGGATGAGAGAAAATGTTGCAGTTTTAAAGCACATTTTCTGCAATTCTACACATTTTGCCATGAGACTGAGATAGCATTTTTACATTTAAAGCACATTTCCTACAATTCTACACATTTTGCCATTGCTTATGATGTGTTCATATGCTATCTGGGGGGGCCCCGACCTCCAGGGGGCACGTGCCCTGCCTGCCCATTCGGTAATCCGGCCCTGGTGCTCCTGCTCTTCCTTGCTGTCTCTGGATAATGCAACAATGCAAAGCCCTACTGTTCCACATAACTGTCTGAAGGTGTAGTCAAAACAATCCTGCCCAAGCTCTCTTGGAAATAACACTTAACTTTTCTAATAGCTTTAGATTCAAATCACTCTTTTGTTTTGTCTGCTGCATTTGTTTTTAGGTGAGTTAGTGAGTCCTAGTATTTGTCATCTCTTTGTGTAGTAGTGTTAAAAAAGTGTCAAAATGGAAATTGTAATAATAATGATTTATTTTAACACTAGCTTGATTCATTCACTCCGAGACAAAAGCAACTTTTACAGGAAGTTACTTTAATAATGATCTAAATTGTTCAGAAACTAATGATTTGTATCAGTCTATTTTGAAGTGAAACTTCTTATAAAACATATTTTAAGAATGGAAGCATGTTTTTGGGCCTATAACCACTCCCTATTCTCCGAAACAGATTTTCTATAATTACAGTATATTTACTATAAGTCTATGACTGCCTGTGACTATTCCTCTCTTGCTAAAAGAGATTCTCTACCTGACCTCTTCAAAGACTTGATGTGGACTGCTGTACTATCTGGAGGAACCAGCCACAATACTTTAAGTATTCAAGTCAAAAGAAGGAACCATACCATTCTGTTGATACCTGATATACCAACCCATTTTTACTGGATGAAATTGGCCAAGCACAAGGACATCAGAAAATACATTTTCACACTCTTAGAACTGAATACTGTAATTTCGACTGTTGAAGGGTCCTCCTTTTCCCTCCATGCAACAGACAACATATGCCATAATAGTAGTTCTGTGTTTCCACATACAGTTCAGACCGAAACCTTGTGAAGCACAAACCCAAACCTGACTGTATGGAAGGGCCTGGGATAGTGGCCCTATACTATGCCCTACACAATGCCCAACATTGATCTTTCACAGATACCCCTCTGTGTTGCTCGCTCTTCTCCATTCAAAAAGTCCTGCACAGTGTCTGACACAGGATTTAATCATTTGAACGACTAAGACATGTTACAAATGTTATTTGTCCACATACAGTAAATGATGCGCATATAAATAATACTGTATGTTGACGTCTGTAAATAACTTGTACGGTAACAGATTGTTGTGTCTTATTTTGTAGTATTTTTATTTCATTTTAGGGTTGTCCCAATGTGCCACGGGTTGTGCGATATCTGTAGCTTGTTTTAAACCAATAAAGCCCTTAGGAGAGCATTGCTCTGCCACAATATCAGATATTTTTTTCAGAGGCCGTTGTTAAATAATGGCATTCGGTTGTATATGTATTGTAATAATACCATATCAACTTGAGGTATGGTCATGACTTGGAAGCGGCTGCAAGCGATGATGTGTGAAATTGTGTTCAGTTAGCAGTTTTAACCTTACTAATGATAATTCTCTTCCATTTTGAGAAAACATTTCATCATACTCTTAATGAACAGGCCGGTTTGGTCTATCGTCAGATAATGTTTAATTCTGTAGGATTTTGTAATATTATTATTATTTTTCTTCAGTTTGAGTGCATGTGAAGTAGCACTGTCTACAACCATTGAGAGTGGCGCTTGATGTGTATCTATCCTCAGAGATAGGATATAATTGTGAATTAATAATAAAATACTTTTGAGTATTCTCATCTTGTGTTTGGTGTATCTTCATTCAATGAATGCCTTATGCACATATTTTTTTTAAGTCCCAAAATGAAAGTGTGGCTAACCTGACTGACACTTCGCATAATTTAGTGGATGTGAAAGACCACCAGCCTTAGGTAAATGTAAGGACGACTTGGTTAGCCACACAGGTGTACAGGGACAATATCATTTTACATAGTCATTGGGTTACACCGAGCTCCTGTGCAGACCATCCTTTTTCAAAACTTTTTAAACCTCTTCGATGAGGTTTAACGGCTGTTGGCATCCAATAAATGTTGCATTACCGCCACCTCCTAAACTGGAGTTTACCTCCCCTATACATTGCTTGAAAAAATATATATATACAGTATATATATACACAAATAAAGCAACAAATACCCTACCATCTAACCCTACACTCACAAAAAACCCACCACCCTACTCCACTATTTAAATATACACTGTATATACACAAAAGTATGTTGACACCCCTTCAAATTAGTGGATTCGGCTACTTCAGCCACACCCGTTGCTGACAAGTGTATAAAACAGAGTACACAGTCATGTAATCTCCATATACAAACATTGTCAGTAGAATGGCCTTACTGAAGAGCTCAGTGACTTTCAACGTGGCATCGTCATAGGATGCCACCTTTCCAACAAGTCAGTTCGTCAAATTTCTGCCCTGCTAGAGCTGCCCGGTCAACTATAAGTGCTGTTATTGTAAAGTGGAAACGTCTAGGAGCAACAACGGCTCAGCCACGAAGTGGTAAGCCACACAAGCTCACAGAACAGGACCACCTAGTGCTGAAGCGCGTAGAGAGCATAAAAATCATTTGTCCTCAGTTACAACACTCACTACCGAGTTCCAAACTGCCTCTGGAAGCAACGACAGCAAAATAACTGTTCGTCAGGAGCTTCCTGAAATGGGTTTCCATGGCCGAGCAACCGCACACAAGCCTAAGATCACCATGCGCAATAGGAAGCGTCGGCTGGAGTGGTGTAAAGCTCACCACCATTGGACTCTGGAACAGTGGAAACGCATTGATAAATCACGCTTCACCATCTGGCAGTCCGATGGACGAATCTGGGTTTGGTGGATGCCAGGAGAACGCTACCTGCCCAAATGCATAGTGGCAACTGTAAAGTTTGGTGGAGGATGAATAATGGTCTGGGGCTGTTTTTCATGGTTCGGGCTAGGCCCCTTAGTTCCAGTGAAGGGAAATCTTAACGCTACAGCATACAATGACATTCTAGACGATTCTGTACTTACAACTTTGTGGCAACAGTTTGGGGAAGGCCATTTCCTGTTCCAGCATGACAATGTCCCCGTGCACAAAGCGAGGTCCATACAGAAATGGTTTGCTGAGATCGGTGTGGAAGAACTTGATCCCTCTGTACTGGTACAGATCTACTACTCTACACCACTCCTCTCAGGATCCTTGCCTCATCTTCCTCTACTTTCTTTACTGTCCTCAGCAACTTCTGCACTATTCTAACCCTGGAAACCTCAACCTGCCTCTCGCACAGGACATTTCTGATCCCCAGCCCCATGGGCACCCCTACAATTAGCACATACCACTACTTTCCCCAATGCTAAACATTCCTTTGTCTCATGCCCTTCTGCACACTTCTCACACCTAGGAACCTCCATCCTACACACTGCTGCCACATGCCCATAAGCTTGACACCTGTAACAATGTAATGTATTGGGCAAAAAAGCTTGTACAGTATAACTGATATACCCTAACATCACTTTGTCGGGCAAAGACTCAACATCAAAACTCAAAAGAACACACAATGTCTCTTCTGTTTCACCACTCACGCCACCCTGTCTGTGTCGCCCCAAACGACGAGCATCACAAACACCGAGAATCTTCTCCTTCAGTTGGTCAACTTTCACATTTACCGCTACCACAGTAATCACTCCTTTCAATGGTGACCTTTTCTTGAGAGCAAAACAATTCACATCTCTTGTCCCCATTCGTTTAACATGGAGCGCCTACTTCTTCTGACCAGCAGAAACACAAACAATTATCACAAGACCACTTGTGGTTACCTTCACCGATTCTGCAGCACCAAACTCTGTTTTCACCCACCCTGAAACCACAAACGGATCAGCCAAAAGGCAAGGGTCCACTTTTTCTAAAAATGTCACTCCTACTCTCACAGACTAATCTTTATCCTGACCCTCGGTGCAAGCCTCTGGCTCTGAAAACATTACCACACCTACCACCTCCGATACTGTCGCCCTCACTCACTTCCATTTCTCCTCCTGTCTTCAATCATCCGGCGTACAGCTCACTCTGCTTACTCTTTCTACCATTCTTCTTTAATAAACCATCTCCCTTTTTCCACCATTTTTAACCGATTCCAACTCACCCTCTTCCTCCCTCTCCCTCTCTTTGACCTCCTCTGCTTCTATTATTCCCTCCATTCCTCCTCCATATTCCAAGGATACGTCTCCTTATGATAATACTGCACTTCTCCTGACACCCATCTTGTTCTTGCCCTCTCAAGGGACACCATTTTCTAATCCTTTCTCCTCAATCACTCTGGACATGCACTGGGATTCTGAGAACTTCAACATTGCCTTCAGCTGAACTTGCAAAGAGAGGGGGATGATACTAACGCGTTCTTTAGATTTACTCTCAGCAGTCCCTCGGTCCTGGGGCCGCCACTAGTTTTTTTTGCCCTAGCACTACACAGCTTATTCAAATTACCAACTCATCTTCTTCTTCGGCGGGGTTTATCGGCGGTTGGCATCCAACGTTATGGTACATTACCGCTACAGTACTGGAGTGTGGGCCAGAGACAGGGAGAAAGTAAATCCTACCTGTCAGCCCCATTGCTCTTAAAAAATATAAAATATTTGAGACTATATCTAATGACGTTCTACTCAATATACTCTTTAAACTAATTTCCTGTAAGCGTTGTTGTTCACTAGTTTACTCCAATGGGGAAGGGGAATATCCTGTATCCCCTTCTCCCTCATACTAGGTCTCAGCCTCTTTCTTTCCCTCTGATACTGCCCACACTGTAGCAATACATGTTCCACGGTCTCTGTTTCCTGGCAATAATCACACTTTCCTGTTGGATGCTTTTCTATCACATTTAAGGTCTTATTCAACTGGCTGTGTCCCACCCTTAATCTTGTAAAAAATAACCTCCTCTCTTCTGTCCCTTCCTGCCGTCCTCCCCTCCCCGACTTTCATCTGTACTTGAAATAAATGCCTGCCCTTAGTATCTCTATTCCACAGCTCCTGCCATCTCTGCACTATCACTGTCCATATCAGGTTTTTTGCCTCTGCCTTGCTCATTGAAACTACAACATCCCCACTACTAAGTGCTTGTTTAGCCAGTGCATCAACTGCCTCGTTCCCCTCCACCCCCACATGGGCTGGGACCTAAATAAATATTATCTGTATGCTCATTTGTCTAATCCTGCCATGGGTTTGTAATACCTCATAAAGCAGGTCTCGTCTGCTACGTGAGCTAAAGGACTGGAGACTAATTAACACTGCACATGAATCAGCGCAAATAACCCACTGCAAGGCCAACAGTATGGCCATCAGCCCCGCTGTATATACAGCCAGATTATCTGTAATACGTTTCCTGACTGCCACCCCACATTCCTGCACTACAAATGCTGACCCAGTACATCCTGTCCTTGGATCTTTTGAACCATCTGTGTAAATGGCCACAGAAATCCTATTACACAGTATCCAGACGTCTCTTAAACAAATCAGATGGATTAACACCCTCCCTCTCTTTCTGTAGTCTCTACAACACCTCTAGATCAACTACTGGAGGCAGGAGTAGCCATGGTGGATTTACAGAAATAGATACCATTGGACTAAACTCCCTTCCATACAGTCCCATCTCCTTCGCCTGGGTATTACCCACCCACCCAAACCTCGTGTTCTGTCTTCGCTCATGTTCCCAGCATGCGTGTAAAATCCGTTTCGCAGGATCAAATCAAACCAAATGTATTTGTCACATGCGCCAAATTCAACAGGTGTGGACAGTGGACTTTACTGTGAAATGCTTCCTTACAAGCCCTTAACCAACAATGCAGTTCAAGAAATAGAGTTAAGAAAATATTTACAGAATAAACTAAAGTAAAAATGTTTTCATAAAGAGTAACAATAAAATAACAATAAAGCGGCTATACACCCCATGTCCCTGTAGGTTGACCCAATAATTCATTGCCAGCTGCTGTCTCCTAATCTGCCATGGCAAATCCCCCATCTCCACCTGTAGTGCAGCCACTGGGGAGGTCCGAAACGCCCACTACATATTCTGAGTCCTTGCCCCAGTACGACATCTAGCCTTTCCAATGAGGTCCGGGCTGCGAACCATACGCTGTACTGCCATGGTCTATTACAGATCGGATCAATGCAACATACATGGTCCTCAATGAGGATTTAACAACTCATCATCAAGCTTTGATTATTTGAATCAGCTGTGTAGTGCGAGGGGAGGCAGGACCGAGTTTTGGAAACGCTCTCCTAGTGTGGGCGGTCCTATCACACCGGGCAGGGGATATGTTGCTAGGATACGGTAAACTACTGCTAGTTTTGTGTGTTTGCTTTGATAGTTGGGGAAATCCAAACATTTGGAGATACGGGCGTTTTGACGCTACATTTCATTATTTTGTATCCCCAAGGGGAAAGGATAGGAATATTGCAATATGATGTCAGTTTATTGACAGTCGTTTGAACATTCAAAACAATAAGAATGCCATGTTAGCTAGCTAGCTAATTTAGTTACATGATACTCTGGCTGGTGATGATTGATTACCTAAATAGCTAGCTAGCTACCCCATGCATTGTCAGCCTAGCAAACGTTAGATAGCTGGCTAGTCAGTTTAGCTACCGGCAACGTTAGCAAGCTGAGAACTGCACTGTTCTACTCCCCCTAAATATCTATTGTAACGTGGTAGCTAGCTAGTTAGGCTAACCATCACAAGTTGGTTACATTGCAAAGTTAACTGAGACAAAGCAAACCGAGACACAGATGTTGACTGATTTGGAAGCTTGTCATTCAATTTGGTTGACATTGCCACATTGCAGGTAACCTCCCCTCCCCTTTAGGGTTAATTATTTTCATCAAGGGCAGTTACACTGTGTCCCTGTACTGTGCTATATTCATCCACTCACTGTGCATCTTTTCTATTGTTTGTGTTAATTACATCCTCAGGTGAATTCATCCTTGACTTGTGTTGATAGATAAACAAGTAGGCCCATAGTTTAACCTGTATCAAAACTCTCTCTCCTATCTGTTTCCCAACTGCACTCACAATGGAGATAGTTCATGTGTACACCAAGAAGCGCAACGAGTTTGGTCAACAGTGTAATTTCTCTAATAAGCCTGCTGAATTGCATGTGGACATCCTCTGTGATCCTTCTCTGGCAGCCAACTTCATTGAGAGAGACCCTTGTGATGTCCCCAATACAGTGCACACAAGCATGAGCATGAGGTGAGCATGTACTAACAACCTGTCACCTGTAACATAAGAATGGAAGACAGTGGTGCACAACACTAGTACAATTATTTTGAGCGTTCCTTGATACCTGTAGCAGTATTATCATTTATTACACAACCTAACAATTTCACAAGACTTAAGCAACACACACCAGTTTTAATTGGGTATGTTGAGTGTCATGATATCAGCAAAGTTTGTGTTAGATAAAAACAGCTTCTGCTTCATTATGAGATAATAAGCCGCATCTAGCAGCCTATGTACATTTCAATCCAACACTGTTTATTCAGACAGACTGTCTGTCTGTAACTAGGCCACTACAGCCTTGAGTGTATGGTGTGTGCTGAATCCTGCCTGTCCTGCCTGGCCCTTTCTTTGTAGGTGAACACAGAGCGCTTTGAGTCGGAGACCAGGGGGATAAACCATGTGGAGAGAGGCTGGCCCAAGGACGTCAACCCTCAGGAGATGGAGCAGACCATCCGCTTCAGGAAGAAAGTGGAGAAAGACGATAATTATTTCAACACCATCATGCAGCTGGGCAGTGTGAGTGTGTCAGACATCATAGAGATTTTTCAATATCATTTTATTGAATTAGTCACTAGCTTATGACATTATACATTATATCAAATCTAAATAATATGTCCTACAGCAGCCAGTTCTTAGCTGCTACAGTAGTGTGATAGATAGAGAAATTACCAGTTCTGAAAGGGAGAGAGTAACAAGAGTGTTCCTCTCCATCTCTGATCACAGCCCTCCTCTGTTCCTTCCGTTTGAACACAGAACATGGAGCACAGCATCAAGCAGAACAATGCCATCGACATCTACCAGGAGTACTTTGAAGGGGAGGAGGAGGTGGTGGAGGAGTCAAAACCATCAACGTTTTCAAGTGCCTCCCTGACCTCTATTAACCTATCGTTCAACAGTGTTACAGTTACATAACAACAACAATGGCAGCAGGGCATAGTTATTGCCCACATACAGTGGGGGGAAAAAAAGTATTTAGTCAGCCACCAATTGTGCAAGTTCTCCCACTTAAAAAGATGAGAGAGGCCTGTAATTTTCATCATAGGTACACGTCAACTATGACAGACAAATTGAGATTTTTTTTCCAGAAAATCACATTGTAGGATTTTTAATGAATTTATTTGCAAATTATGGTGGGAAATAAGTATTTGGTCACCTACAAACAAGCAAGATTTCTGGCTCTCACAGACCTGTATCTTCTTCTTTAAGAGGCTCCTCTGTCCTCCACCCGTTACCTGTATTAATGGCACCTGTTTGAACTTGTTATCAGTATAAAAGACACCTGTCCACAACCTCAAACAGTCACACTCCAAACTCCACTATGGCCAAGACCAAAGAGCTGTCAAAGGACACCAGAAACAAAATTGTAGACCTGCACCAGGCTGGGAAGACTGAATCTGCAATAGGTAAGCAGCTTGGTTTGAAGAAATCAACTGTGGGAGCAATTATTAGGAAATGGAAGACATACAAGACCACTGATAATCTCCCTCGATCTGGGGCTCCACGCAAGATCTCACCCCGTGGGGTCAAAATGATCAAAAGAACGGTGAGCAAAAATCCCAGAACCACACGGGGGGACCTAGTGAATGACCTGCAGAGAGCTGGGACCAAAGTAACAAAGCCTACCATCAGTAACACACTACGCCGCCAGGGACTCAAATCCTGCAGTGCCAGACGTGTCCCCCTGCTTAAGCCAGTACATGTCCAGGCCCGTCTGAAGTTTGCTAGAGTGCATTTGGATGATCCAGAAGAGGATTGGGAGAATGTCATATGGTCAGATGAAACCAAAATAGAACTTTTTGGTAAAAACTCTTCTCGTCGTGTTTGGAGGACAAAGAATGCTGAGTTGCATCCAAAGAACACCATACCTACTGTGAAGCATGGGGGTGGAAACATCATGCTTTGGGGCTGTTTTTCTGCAAAGGGACCAGGACGACTGATCCGTGTAAAGGAAAGAATGAATGGGGCCATGTATTGTGAGATTTTGAGTGAAAACCTCCTTCCATCAGCAAGGGCATTGAAGATAAAACGTGGCTGGGTCTTTCAGCATGACAATGATCCCAAACACACCGCCCGGGCAACGAAGGAGTGGCTTCGTAAGAAGCATTTCAAGGTCCTGGAGTGGCCTAGCCAGTCTCCAGATCTCAACCCCATAGAAAATCTTTGGAGTGAGTTGAAAGTCCGTGTTGCCCAGCGACAGCCCCAAAACATCACTGCTCTAGAGGAGATCTGCATGGAGGAATGGGCCAAAATACCAGCAACAGTGTGTGAAAACCTTGTGAAGACTTACAGAAAACGTTTGACCTGTGTCATTGCCAACAAATGGTATATAACAAAGTATTGAGAAACTTTTGTTATTGACCAAATACTTATTTCCACCATAATTTGCAAATAAATTCATTAAAAAATCCTACAATGTGATTTTCTGAAAATGTTCCCCTCATTTTGTCTGTCATAGTTGACGTGTACCTATGATGAAAATTACAGGCCTCTCTCATCTTTTTAAGTGGGAGAACTTGCACAATTGGTGGCTGACTAAATACTTTTTTTCCCCCACTGTATGGGATATTGGCAACAAAACCTCCTTCACTCATGCTGCCAAACATGCCCTCGTAAAATTGACTATCCTACCGATCCTTGACTTTGGCGATGTCATTTACAAAATAGCCTCCAACACTCTACTCAGCAAATTGGATGTAGTCTATCACAGTGCCATCCGTTTTGTCACCAAAGCCCCATATACTACCCACCATTGTGACCTGTACGCTCTCGTTGGCTGGCCCTCACTACATATTCGTCGCCAAACCCACTGGCTCCAGGTCATCTATAAATCTCTGATAGGCAAATCCCCGCCTTATCTTAGCTCATTGGTCACCATAGCAACACCCACCCGTAGTATGCGCTCCAGCAGGTATATCTCGCTGGTCATCCCCAAAGCCAACGCCTCCTTTGGCCGCCATTCCTTCCAGTTCTCTACTGCCAATGACTGGAACGAACTGCAAAAATCTCTGAAGCTGGAGACTCTTATCTCCCTCACTAACTTTAAGCATCAGTTGTCAGAGCAGCTTACCGATCACTGCACTTGTACACAGCCCATCTGTAATTAGCCCACCCAACTACCTCATCCCCATATTGTTATTTATTTTGCTCATTTGCACCCCAGTTTTTATATTTGCACATCATCTTCTGCACATCTATCATTCCAGTGTTAATCCTAAATTGAAATTATTTTGCACTATGGCCTATTTATTGCCTTACCTCCACAACTTACTACATTTGCACACACTGTATATAGATTTTCTATTTTTCTATTGTGTTTTTGACTGTACGTTTTTGTTTATCCCATATGTAACTCTGTGTTGTTGTTGTTTTTATCGCACTGCTTTGCTTTATCTTGGCCAGGTCGCAGTTGTAAATGAGAACTTGTCTCAACTGGCTTACCTGGTTAAATAAAGGTGAAATAAAATAAATAATTTGCAATAGCTGTGGCAGTGATATTTACTCATTTGTCATCTTAATTGATAGTTCAGAAAGTCAAAGTAGACTACAAAGTCTAGTAATTAATAGAATCCCCTTTGTTGCCTCTTGCCTCTTCAGAGAATCCCAATTAGCCAGAGATGACCCTGAAACATGTCTCTCCACTGGTCTGTCTGGAGTACAACCCCAAAGACTCTCACATCCTGGTCGGAGGTAGCTACAATGGCCAGATCGGTGGGTCCTTCAACAGCTGTATCATGCTTCCTGTCAGCTCAGTGACAATGTTCTGAGGAGATTACTGTGCAGTGTAAAGAACTTTGGGGGTATGGTCAGGTCATCCAACATACTACCTACTCTCAGACTGCAGCTATTTCATTCTTTCTTTTGTAGCCTATTAATCACAGTTACCCCAAGGTTTTACTGTTTAAAGTTTCATTTTTTCTGTTGTAAATTTCTGTTGTACATTTGTCCGGATGCTCTTTTGAGCATTTAAGTACATTGCCTCTAGATATTTGTTTAGTCTCTGACAGTTAATATGAAATTCTGAAATTCAGTTGTGTGTTCTTGTCATTTGTGTGTTTTGTGCAGGCATGCATGTGTGTTTGTGAAAGTACACTAAGTAAAATGTATTTGTCTGAGCAGCTTATTGGGACACTTGCAAGGGGAGCCAGCCAGTGGAGATGTCCACACTAGAGCACAGCCACAGAGACCCTGTCTACAAAGTCATCTGGTTGCAGTCAAAGACTGGAACCGATACCTTCTCTGCTTCTACGGATGACCAGGTGAGCCAAGCCTCCAATAGAAGCAATAAAAGCCTTTGTCACCTTATCCCTTTCTCAAGCCAAGCAGGCACAATAGGCCAGGGAGGCACAAAACGCTCAGGGCTCATGGGCAGTGAAGTCTGATACTCTTGGTCCGGGATGGGTGCACTTTCTCTGACCTTCAACTGCCATTTGGCCGTAGCCAGAAGTTATGTCATAATTTGTCTATTGAAGGCAAGGAGACTGACTGATCGGCCTGAGTTGACCACTGGTCTCTGTCTCTCTGTCTATAATGTGCTGTGGTGGGACATTTGTAAGATGAGCGAGCCCACAGAGAGGCTGGTACTGGACCCCAACAAGAAGGGCAACCTGGAGTTTGAGACCACTATGGTGAGGAGGCTGTCTAGACTGGACTATCCCTCTGTTGTTTCACTGTTGATTAATTAAGAGTATGGATTCGCCTAACATCTTCTTGTATGAACTGGTCCAAGTGGGAGATCCAGTACGTCATCTATTTGTATTTGTACGTAAGGAAGACCTCAAATTTAACATGATGTTTTCTCTTTTTCTTATTCAGCCCACAACGTTTATGGTGGGGACAGAGCAAGGGCTGATGGTCTCCTGTAACCGAAAGGCCAAGACCCTAGCAAAGAAGATAGTGTGCACGTACAGCGGTCCTCATGGCCCAATCTACGCCCTGCAAAGGAACCCTTTCTTCCTCAAGAACTTCCTGACTGTAGCCGATTGGACAGCCCGCATCTGGTCCGAAGACATCAAGGAGTCGTCCATCATGTGGACAAAGTAAAGGGTCCCTCTGAAACAACATAATACAGACCAATGATATAGCTACTTCACAGATGGATACATTACACTCTTTTTAGGTTCTAATACATACACTACCAGTTAAAAGTTTGGACACACCTACTCATTCAAGGGTTTTTCTTTATTTAAAAAATTTGTTTTACATTGTAGAATAATAGTGAAGACATCAAAACTATGAAATAACACATATGGAATCATGTAGTAAACAAAAAAGTGTTCATCAAATCAAAATATATTTTATATTTGAGATTCTTCAAATACCCACCCTTTGCCTTGATGACAGCTTTGCACACTCTTGGCATTCTCTCAACCAGCTTCACCTGGAATGCTTTTCCAACAGTCTTGAAGGAGTTCCCACATATGCTGAGCACTTGTTGGCTGCTTTTCCTTCACTCTGCCGTCCGACTCATCCCAAACCATCTCAATTTGGTTGTGGTCGGGGATTGTGGAGGCCAGGTCATCTGATGCAGCACTCCATCACTCTCCTTCTTGGTAAAATAGCCCTTACACACATGTTGGGTCATTGTCCTGTTGAAAAACAAATGATAGTCCCATTAAGGCCAAACCAGATGGGATGGCGTATCGCTGTAGAATGCTGTGGTAGCTATGCTGGTTAAGTGTGCCTTGAATTCTAAATAAATCACTGACAGTGTCACCAGAAAAGCACCCCCACACCATAACACCTCCTCCTCTATGCTTTACGGTGGGAACTACACATGCGGAGATCATCCGTTCACCCACACCGCGTCTCACAAAGACGCGGTGGTTGGAACCAAAAATCTCAAATTTGAGAGTAGAGTGTTGGAGGCTATTTTGTAAATGACATCGCCAAAGTCAAGGATCGGTAGGATAGTCAGTTTTACGAGGGCATGTTTGGCAGCATGTGTGAAGGAAGCTTTGTTGCGAAATAGGAAGCGGATTCTAGATTTAACTTTGGATTGGAGATGCTTAATGTGAGTCTGGAAGGAGAGTTTACGGTCTAACCAGACACCTAGGTATTTGTAGTTGTCCACATATTCTAAGTCAGACCCGCCGAGAGTAGTGATTCTAGTCGGGCGGGCGGGTGCAAGCAGCGTTCGTTTGAAGAGCATGCATTTAGTTTTACTAACGTTTAAGAGCAGTTAGAGGCTACGGAAGGAGTGCTGTATGGCATTGGAGCTTGTTTGGAGGTTTGTTAACACAGTGTCCAATGAAGGGCCAGATGTATACAAAATGGTGTCGTCTGCATAGAGGTGGATCACCTGCAGCAAGAGCGACATCATTGATATACACAGAGAATAGAGTCGGCCCGAGAATTGAACCCTGTGGCACCCCCATAGAGACTGCCAGAGGTCCAGACAACAGGCCCTCCGATTTGACACATTGAACTCTACCTGAGAAGTAGTTGGTGAACCAGGCGAGGCAGTCATTTGAGAAACCAAGGCTATTTAGTCTGCCAATAAGAATGCGGTGATTGACGGAGTCGAAAGCCTTGGCCAGGTCGATGAAGACGGCTGCACAGTACTGTCTTTTATCGATCGCGGTTATAATATCGTTTAGGACCTTGAGCGTGGCTGAGGTGTACCCATGACCAGCTCGGAAACCAGATTGCATAGTGGAGAAGGTACAGTGGGATTCGAAATGGTCGGTGATCTGTTTGTTAACTTGGCTTTCAAATACTTTCAAAAGGCAGGGCAGGATGGATATAGGTCTGTAACAGTTTGGATCTAGAGTGTCACCCCCTTTGAAGAGGGGGATGACCGCAGCAGCTTTCCAATCTCTGGGGATCTCAGACGATACGAAAGAGAGGTTGAACAGGCTGGTAATAGGGGTTGCAACAATTTCGGCAGCTAAGGGCAAGTAGCAGCGGAGGGTGCAGAGCTGGTGGCCGGGGTAGGGGTAGCCAGGTGGAAAGCATGGCCAGCCATAGCAAAATGCTTGTTGAAATGTTCGATTATCGTAGATGTATCGGTAGTGACAGTGTTTCCTAGCCTCAGTGCAGTGGGCAGCTGGGAGGAGGTGCTCTTATTCTCCATGGACTTTACAGTGTCCCAAAAAGTTTTAGTGAGTTAGTGCTACAGGATGCACATTTCTGTTTGAAAAAGCTAGCCTTTGCTTTCCTAACTGATTGTGTATATTGGTTCCTGACTTCCCTGAAAAGTTGCATATCGCGGTGCTGTTCGATGCTAATGCAGCATGCCACAGGATGTTTTTGTGCTGGTCAAGGGCAGTCAAGTCTGGGGTGAACCAGGGGCTATATCTGTTCTTAGTTCTGATTTTTTTGAATGGGGCATGCTTATTTAAGAGACTTTTAAAGAACAACCAGGCATCCTCTACTGACGGAATGAGGTCAATATCCATCCAGGATACCCGGGCCAGGTAAATTAGAAAGGCCTGCTCGCTGAAGTGTTTTAGGGAGCGTTTGACAGTGATAAGGGGTGGTTGTTTGACCGCGGACCCATTACGGACGCAGGCAATGAGGCAGTGATCGCTGAGAACCTGGTTGAAGACAGCGGAGGTTTATTTAGAGGGTCAATTAGTCAGGATGATATCTATGAGGGTGCCCATGTTAACGGATTTAGGGTTGTACCTGGTAGATTCCTTGATAATTTGTGTGAGATTGAGGGCATCTAGTTTAGATTGTAGGACGGCCGGGGTGTTAAGCATATCCCAGTTTAGGTCACCAAGCAGTACGAACTCTGAGGATAGAAGGGGGGCAATCAATTCACATATGGTGTCCAGGGCACAGCTGGGGGCTGAGGGGGGTCTGTAGCAAGCGGCAACAGTGAGATACTTATTTCTGGAAAGGTGGATTTTTAGAAGTAGAAGCTCAAACTGTTTGGGCACAGACCTGGATAGTATGATAGAGCTCTGCAGGCTATCTCTACAGTAGATTGCAACTCCGCCCCCTTTGGCAGTTCTATCTAGATGGAAAATGTTGTAGTTGGGAATGGACATTTCTGAATCTTTGGATTCTTTGGAAGAAATCATAGAATTCGTTCCACATTGGGTGAGGCGGGTTGCAGGAAAGTATATTTAGTTAAAGAATGGAAAGTGAGATTGAGAAATATATACGAAAAAGACAAAAACAAACAAAAAAACAGGCTATTTACATGAGGACACTACAGAAAACACGACCGCACTGCTACGCCATCTTGGATCTTTAAAACTTTAAAAGTTATTGAAATGTTCCGTATTGACTGACCTTCATGTCTTAAAGTAATGATGGACTGTTGTTTCTCTTTGCTTATTTGAGCTGTTCTTGCCATAATATGGACTTGGTCTTTTACCAAATAGGGCTATCTTCTGTATACCCCCCTCCCCTACCTTGTCACAACACAACTGATTGGCTCAAACGCATTAAGAAGGAAAGAAATTCCACAAATTAACTTTTAAGAAGGCACACCTGTTAATTGAAATGCATTCCATGTGACTTCCTCATGAAGCTGGTTGAGAGAATGCCAAAAGTGAGCAAAGCTGTCATCAAGGCAAAGGGTGGCTATTTGAAGAATCTCAAATATATTTTGATTTGTTTAACACTTTTTTGGTTACTACATGATTCCATATGTGTTATTTCATAGTTTTGATGTCTTCACTATTATTCTACAATGTAGAAAATAGTAAAAATAAAGAAAAACCCTTGAATGAGTAGGTGTGTCCAGACTTTTGACTGGTACTGTATAACCAGTGATTTGGCATACAACTCCCCTCCTGTAATATTGACCTAATGTAAAATGACCTCTGTTGGTTGCCGTAGATACCATATAGCCTATCTGTCAGAAGGCAGCTGGAGTCAAGTACGGCCCTCTGTGTTCTTCACCATCAAAATGGACGGGACACTAGACATTTGGGACTTCCTCTTCAAACAGAACGACCCCACACTCAGTCTGAAAGTATTATCAAACACCTCATCCAGCCTTTACTCAACACCTGCCAGGCCTAATTGACCATGTGAAACCCCTTTCTGTTGTGTTGTTATCGTTGGTAGAATTATTGTATGATGATGCCAAATTAAAATGTCCATCCTCAGATAGACATAAAAGTTATATTCTATTGTTTTCTAGGTGTGTGATGAGGCTCTGTACAGCCAGTAGGTGCAGGATAACGGGCGCTTCATGGCCTGTGGATCTCAGCTAGGCACTGCTACCCTGCTGGAGATCTCCTCAGGCCTGTGTACCCTCCAGAGGAACGAGAAGGCCCTGGCCACTGCGGTGAAAGACCCCCTCTAACCCAGCACATCCATCTCTTCCCTAGCTTGGTCCCAGATCATTGTCACGTGACATGACAATGACCATATGAGTTGGCAAGGCAGCACAACCCCTGACCCACTCTATTCTACTCTTTTCTCGCCTCACCTATCTGTACTATTGAATTGACCCTGTGTGTGTTTTTGGTCATATGTTTGAGTGGGAGACCAAATGGGAGAAGATCGTGGAGGCGCGCCACCGTGAGATGCGTCTGAAGGAGCGCAGCCGCTCAGAGCAGAGCAAGGACAGGGACACCAAGGAGAGCGACGGAGAGGAGAGCGCTGAGGAGCTAGTAACACGCACGTAGACTGAGTTCTATGAGGTAGTGGAGCTGAAGAAGAGAGAGGAGGAAGAAAAGAAGGTTTGAAGGGATTGAGTGAAAATAATATGTTTTCAAAATTCCTTGACGTTGATGAATGTTTTGCAAATCCAGTCAGTTTTCCATGTTGATCCAACATCATCACAATGATTTCTGTTGTTGAAATGATGTGGAAACAGCGTTGATTCAACCAGTTTGTGCCCGGTGGGTTATTATTAATCGTTTATACTCTGTGGTATGACTGAATTAGTTGGCTATTTCATTAGCATAACAAACAACACCACCCTTCAATAGCATTCATCTGGCAATACATTCACATCAGGTGGCCTATGTACAGTAGTAGCATGAACTCCAACACTGTGTTCTGTGCACCACGGCTGCTCTGATTTTATTTGATTTAGGATCATTAGCGGACGCCAATGGCGACAGCTTGTCTTACTGGGGTCTGACACATAACGAAAAATACATTACAGACAAAATACTTTACAATTTACATAGTCAATTTATGATCTCATAGTTGATAATGTGTGGATGAGGTATCACTACATTGGTCTGTCTCATCTGAGTATCATATTGTCCATTCATGCTGTGATAGTAATTATACTGTGTCTAAAGAGCAAGTTTTCTTCTTCTGCAGAAGCACCTTCCCTGCAGTGCAGGCCATAATTGAGCTCCCTCCCGTGAAGAGTGTTTTGACAAAGAGAGAGCTTGGACAATAGATGGAGAGACGCTCATGTCACAATGACATTACAGGAGTTACAGTTACTGTGTAATATAGGTTGTCAAGGGTTTATAAATTGAGAGGGGGCTGGTGAGGGGGGCTGAATTTTATTTAAACTCTAGCCCTATGACACACCGACCACTTAAGTAAAATCTAAATTAATTGTTCTGTTTTGACGGAAGTCGTTGCTGTCCTCCACCGGCCTGTATGACATCACCACTGCACCTCTTTGTTCAAGGGTAACAAATTGACCCTTGTTTTGGTCCACTGGCCCATTAAGATTGGGGCCTGGGTGTCTATATATAGCTACTGTATGTAAGCTCGTCTAGAGAAGAAAAAATTTATAACCTGTAAATCTGACTGTAAGTAGAATTTTTTTCCCCCAATATTAATTTGTGCTGTGGTTTCCCTTTTGAAATGTTTGTCCCCATAATGACAGAAAATCTCCCATGACGGAAATATTTTATAATAAGAAAATAGGAGTGAATGGAATGGATTGTTGGTCATTTAAACTTTTCAGTGATGTCAAAAAGCAATGTTTACTTCTGATTTAATTGTAAATTACTTACAGGTACATACGGTACATTCTGTGCTCACACACTGAGGATGTAATATCATTATGTGATGATGTAATATCATTATGTGATGATGTAATATCATTATGTGATGATGTAATATCATTATGAGAAAGGCGTGTGTGAAGAGAAAGAAGTCTGAGACGGAACGCCTTAACAACACGATGTTCCACATGTCATCTTGAATCAATCAAATAAAGACAGCAAGGCATTTTCTATAATAGAGACATTCTCAATGAGTCACGTGGAACTCAATAATGGGATTGAGTTGTTATTCATGTTTAATTATTTGAGATATACAGTATATGCTGTATGTATAATCATTATATTAGTGTTGTCTGATTACAGGAAATGTGTTTTGCTATCTGTGTCTTTTGGGATTTTGACATTTTAGTTTCCTTTGTAGAAATCAAACAGATTATTGTATGAAATTAGTCATATGCCAAGCCTCAATGAATGTCAAAGAGTCATGGATTGAAGGTATTTGTGTGCAGTTATATACAGTGGGGAGAACAAGTATTTGATACGCTGCCGATTTTGCAGGTTTTCCTACTTACAAAGCATGTAGAGGTCTGTAATTTTTATCATAGGTACACTTCAACTGTGAGAGACGGAATCTAAAACAGAAATCCAGAAAATCACATTGTATGATTTTTAAGTAATTAATTTGCATTTTATTGCATGACATAAGTATTTGATCACCTACCAACCAGTAAGAATTCCGGCTCTCACAGACCTGTTAGTTTTTCTTTAAGAAGCCCTCCTGTTCTCCACTCATTACCTGTATTAACTGCACCTGTTTGAACTCGTTACCTGTATAAAAGACACCTGTCCACACACTCAATCAAACAGACTCCAACCTCTCCACAATGGCCAAGACCAGAGAGCTGTGTAAGGACATCAGGGATAAAATTGTAGACCTGCACAAGGCTCGGATGGGCTACAGGACAATAGGCAAGCAGCTTGGTGAGAAGGCAACAACTGTTGGCGCAATTATTAGAAAATGGAAGAAGTTCAAGATGACGGTCAATCACCCTCGGTCTGGGGCTCCATGCAAGATCTCACCTCGTGGGGCATCAATGATCATGAGGAAGGTGAGGGATCAGCCCAGAACTACACGGCAGGACCTGGTCAATGACCTGAAGAGAGCTGGGACCACAGTCTCAAAAAAAACATTAGTAACACACTACACCGTCATGGATTAAAATCCTGCAGCGCACGCAAGGTCCCCCTGCTCAAGCCAGCGCATGTCCAGGCCCATCTGAAGTTTGCCAATGACCATCTGGATGATCCAGAGGAGGAATGGGAGAAGGTCATGTGGTCTGATGAGACAAAAATAGAGCTTTTTGGTCTAAACTCCGCTCGCCGTGTTTGGAGGAAGAAGAAGGATGAGTACAACCCCAAGAACACCATCCCAACCGTGAAGCATGGAGATGGAAACATTATTCTTTGGGGATGCTTTTCTGTAAAAGGGACAAGACGACTGCACCGTATTGAGGGGAGGATGAATGGGGCCATGTATCGCGAGATCTTGGCCAACAACCTCCTTCCCTCAGTAAGAGCATTGAAGATGGGTCATGGCTGGGTCTTCCAGCATGACAACGACCCGAAACACACAGCCAGGGCAACTAAGGATTGGCTCCGTAAGAAGCATCTCAAGGTCCTGGAGTGGCCTAGCCAGTCTCCAGACCTGAACCCAATAGAAAATCTTTGGAGGGGGCTGAAAGTCCGTATTGCCCAGCGACAGTCCCGAAACCTGAAGGATCTGGAGAAGGTCTGTATGGAGGAGTGGGCCAAAATCCCTGCTGCAGTGTGTGCAAACCTGGTCAAGACCTACAGGAAACGTATGATCTCTGTAATTGCAAACAAAGGTTTCTGTACCAAATATTAAGTTCTGCTTTTCTGATGTATCAAATACTTATGTCATGCAATAAAATGCAAATTATTACTTAAAAATCATACAATGTGATTTTCTGGATTTTTGTTTTAGATTCCGTCTCTCGCAGTTGAAGTGTACCTATGATAAAAATTACAGACCTCTACATGCTTTGTAAGTAGGAAAACCTGCAAAATCGGCAGTGTATCAAATACTTGTTCTCCCCACTGTATATTTCAAGAGCACAATATAGCCTGCACAGTCTGACTCATTATTACAATGACTCATACAAAGTGAGTGCAGTGTGACACTGAAAACCTTGTTGAGGATAGCGGGAAAGGACCCATAGATGCACTGTAAAGGGGTTACCATGAATTTGACAGTAATTTACTGGCAGCTCGTGGCAAATATATTTCTGTATTTAAAATTACAGTACACATACTGTAATATAAATACGGTATGAAATCATCAATTTGTAAGTCGCTCTGGATAAGAGCGTCTGCTAAATGATGTAAATGTAAAATGTACTGTCTAATGACACACAGTACAATACTGTAAAATTAACTATTATACTGTAAAAAAAAAAATAAATGCTACAGTAATGTGAATAAATTCATTAATTAAATTCATTGAGGGGAGGGGTTTGTATTTCACAGTATTTTACTGCAATCACATGGGATTCGTGCAAGCAGGTTGGCTGCTAGGTAAAGTGTTTACACATTATAGCATATTAATGAATATGTTGTGTTTTATAGCACTTGCACTTGTAGAGGCCTTAACAAAGGCTTCCAAACTAGCAGCGACTACAGGGCAAAACAGACCAAAAGGACATGGCAAAATGCTCAACCATTTAAGGTCAATTTATTTGGTTATTCCAAAATGTTATACATGTTAAAATTTTTAAATCAACTTCTAAATAATATAAACAATTAAAACAATAAATTATTAATCAACTCAAGTTAATCAAATGAAAAGAAAAACAATTACATAAAAATAACCACAAAAAAAATTCAATCAATCAAATAACATTTAACAAAGGTTTAAGACTAGCTGCCACTCCAATCTGTCCCCTATACATTTTTAATTGATAGGACGTTATAACCACATAGGAGTTAAATTGGTACAGCATTCTCACTCATAGGTGAACAAATATAGCCTCTTACAAGGTATGCCTCAAAATATGTTCATGAGACAGAAAAAACAATAACATGCACCCACAATGCACCATAATTTACAGTATGCAGCAGTAAAGTTTTTACTTTTGATAATACCTAAAATTACTGTATAAATTACCGTTTTCTGTTACTGTGTGGACCATACCCATTCCATTTGGGATGGAGATGGCCCATGTGAATACTGTATGTGTGGATTTAAAAAATATAATACATTAACAATGTTGGCCAACAAAATAAGCACTTTTCATGTGTTGAGAAATCGTTTGGTCTCACCTGTAACCTGGCACAGATGCCTTTGTTGGAATGCAGTTTCACCAGCTCATCAGAATGTGTGGTTGGCCTAGCTGCATTTCAATCAGCTGCAATACCCCAGAACAAATTAATGAGAATTATGTCATTTCGTTTAGCAACATAAACGTGTTTTATAATTGAGTATGTTAGTCTAGAAACCGCAGTCAAATTGTATTAAAGTATGGCCGGAAAGCAAGTGCGTCTGCGTTATTTGGAGAGCCATTTGCGCAATTTTATGCGCCATTAATCTGTCCACCAGATGTCGTCATTGGGCTGTGGCAAATCGAAGAAACAGCCGTGTTTTACGCGCCTCTGGTCATGCCTATATGAGGCTCTGGAGAATGCCTCTG